CCCCCCGTTAAAGTGGAAATAGTACCCACCAATTTCCCAAACCAGTTACCTTCAAGGCTTGCCTATGGTGATACCTGGCAAGGTTACCAGTGTTCTTATTTAAGCTATCAAATAAACTTTCAAGCCCTCAAATGGTTGGTGTCATAGCCGATCATATGTGAAGAACACCATGGCAACTGCAATCCACACAGAGGCTAAGATGGCACCTTCTCTGGCTATAAAGAATAGGAAGGTGTAATTCAGCTTTCAGCCAGCCCCTGTATAACCCCGTTTCCAACCTTCATGCCTCAGTTTTGTGAGCATGTAGTATATAAGGCCAATAACAGAGGGGCGGAGACCTGTGTTCCTCAATGGACTTCAAGAAAAAATTTTTACAGTACGAGCTCAACACATTTGTTCCAAAAGCTTCAGCACACAAGGGTTTGTCCTTGCAATGAAGGGGTCATCTTCAAGAGATCTAATCCACAACGACACGGATTCACAAATCTGAGTAACCAGCAATAACGGGCAGAGAGACATTCCAGATAACTCAAATTGGATCCGAGTAGGGAGCCCAACTGTCAGTGAAATTTCTAAAAGGTAAGCATGTTTTGTGGTATGCTTGTGAAAGTTGATAACTGGAGTGTCTATATGGGCAGAGACCGCTTATCAATAAAATTCCTTTTCAAAGGGAAAAAGCACCTTTACATTGCCAGAAAAGGAGCCATGATTCCATAGGTTTCCAGTCCTCAGAGTAATGTTTTGCATTCGGAGTCTGGAACAGCAGACCGATCCTCCAAATGCAGGGTAGAATGTACTGCATCAATCAGATTATCAAGAATTCCTAGTAAATCTGAACGATATGGAAATTGCGGAAATACAGTCTCTTCAGGTGGAAACTGCCAGGATTCAGAATCTGAGTCAGATATGGTAATAGCGGCCTCAAGCACACTTAAGTAGGCTATATATGGTGCGAATTTCAGCCGGTTCTTGATGAACGGCCAAAATCCACACAGTGGGTGCCCGTGTCACCACCCTTCTGCCTAGCGTCACTGATGGAAGGAGCAGATTGAAAAATTCTCGGCCAGACGGAGCATGCAGCCAGTGACTGCTGTCAGAATACAATGGGAACAGTAGGGAATTCATCTATCCACGCTCTTAAGTGTTAAAGGAGGAATCTGTTATATTTTCTTAATTCATCCCACAGGTTAAATGAAGAAAATATGACTGTATACCCAGCTTTAGTGAGGAGGTCCAGTAGTGTTTGGTTTGCATTTTTATTAACTATGGTCATAGGTCTGTAGGTCTATCACCTAAGCTCATAATTTTAAATATTTTTTTTTATTATGTACCCCTTTGTTATACATACAAGATGTACAGCACAGAAACCTACAGAAACCTTCTTGTAATGACATTTTACCATTGATATGATTATTCTAACCATTCTCATTGACATCTTGCATGTGTACTAGTTTCTTATATCTTTTGTAGCCCTGATGAAAGGGGATTGTTTGGACCCTGAAACACATTGGCTGCCATATGTTATCCATCTGCCATTTAAGGAATCAATAAAATAAATGTCTGGACTTGCAAAACGTTTTGGTGCTCATTCTGGCTTGACTACACATAGTTCTTGCAAGCAGGATGGCCCCTATGTTAAGGGAGAATGCCATTTGTATAACTGGCGAACCTAGGTTTTAAACAAAAACGTATTAACTCTCAGCTAAAGGTCCAACACCTCTTTCCCAGCTCTACTTAGAATTAGATTCTGTCATGGATGGCACCAGAGTGTGCTTAGAGGCTCTGTGAGCAGAAGGCTACTATGGTGCACAAACTGACAATTAGGGGATATTAGGGGTCCAACCAGCGTTGTCAGCCTCACACATCAGAGCTATATAAAACTCAGATATATTGCACCATGTATTGGTGAAAAACCAGGCCCAACGTGAGGTAAAGCCTCACATGCTCACAAACCTGAGAAGCTGATGCTGAAGAGGGTTGTAGGTGGCCAGAGGTGACAAAGTCAGTGTAGGGGGGCAGCAGAACTAGACCAGATGATCCACAAAGCACTTCCTCTAGGCTAATTGGCGTCAGGTGTTTGCAGAGTGTATGCACACAACACTACACCTACCAGATGATGTCAACTCTCAGTTCCCTCAACATTAACCATTACTCCTGCATGATGGCGGTAACAGGAATTTTAAATAAGATACAAAATTATGAGGTACTTCCTAGTTTTTCAGCCCAACTGGCTAATGAGTTCCCAGAAAGCAGGTCACACCAGAGGCTGTGCAACATATCTAGACAGGGAGTGTACTCTGTGGCTAACTAACACAGTACACAGAAACCTGGATTTTCCACTTCATTGCTGTTCAGGACAACAAAATGGAGATTTCCCCCACATTCCTTAGCAGGGTGAAAGCTGAAAGCCAAGCTACTTTTTGTTACTGTTGTCACTTATTGAATTAGTCCCCATATATTTTTTTATCATTTGCATCTTTTTGAGTAACAATATCAGTTACACTAAGCTCTGGCAGCCTGATAGCTCCTAAAGAGGCACTACACCCTGGCCTCACACATTATGTCTTTAGTAGAGGGATGGTATGGTCCTTTTTAGCCCCAGATGGGAATAGGACCCAGGGTTGTTCATATTGAGTATAGACAACACACCTCCTTCTCCTCTAGTTCCCTGCGAAGCTTCTCCGCTCTCCTTCTACGTTCTTCAAGCTCAGCATTTGATTCATCTAAAAGCCGTTCTTGCTCCTCTGCTTTGGCCAGTAAATCCACCCCGCCAACGATGACCTTCTTCTCCAAAGTAAAAAGCTTCTCCAGAAGGGACTGGTGTTCTTGTCTTAAATGAAAAAACAATACATTTTATTTCTCTTTCTCAAATGTACTTTAAACAAATATTCTGCTCCTAAAATACCCACAGAAATGAGCTGCTTTCTATTCTAACATGTACAAATGATAAAACTGAAGTGGCGGGTTATTGAATACTGGATAGAAAATTTGATGTGACCAATGACCAACCCATTTCCTGGACATGAGTGCATGGCATGATGAGCAAGTGTTTGAGACAATGTGAGAATGTGTGGAGAGCCATTGCAAGATGTGGCCTGAGATGATTCAGGATACATACACAATGCTCTTTCAGCATGCTGTGTTAGTGTCATTTCTAAACTTAGCCAACAAATGTATCGATCACTATTATTATACAGGATTTATAGAGTAACAACAGTTTGTGCAGAGCTTTAAAGGTGGTTTTGTAGGATGCACTAGAGGGTGCATCTTACAAAATCATACACCATAACAGGCCTTGAACTGTCTTTACTACAGCTGAAAACACCCAATCCCTCCCTACTTTACAACATAACTTCTAATGCTCACTGTACCATTTATTTTTATTTTTTTACTCCTCACATTTTATTCAAAATCAGCAGATCTGACTTCAAATCTTCAAACAAACACTCAAAAAAACGTCACACAAAAACAATTCCTATGCATAAATTTGGCGCACAAACTTCTTTTTTAAACTGTAAATCTGTGAGCTTTAGATCACATTTAAATCACGTTCTAAACATCCACTGACATTTCAAATCAAGCCGATAGTGGGAGAGTCATCTCTGACTTGTGAGAAGAAGGGAGCATGGGCAGCATAGAGGTGATTGGCTCATCATATCTGCAATATCCGAGTGTGTCATACTACAAGTCCAATACTGGACTGGGCATGAGCTGGAGTTCAGACATCCTAGACTGAAGTGCTAAAATATTTACACAAATAAAAAGTAGTTTCAAACATCAGGGTTCCAAGACTATTGCATAAAAACCATGGGAAGGCACTCTATACAGTGCACATTCAAAGGATACATGCACCTTCATTGGAAAAATCAATACTAACGGCATAAACACCCATGGCCTCTACAGTCAAAATGACAGTAGAACAATTTGTATCCTGCAAAAATTGACCTGTTCCCTTCTGGGGGATGAAAAATTGTTAACCAAATCCAGTGTTTTGTATTTGCAGTAGAATCGTGTATGTGCGCGGCGCTGAAGATGGGGTCTGGCAATTCCCCAGATCCCATTTTCTTCATCTTCAAGCTGGTGCATTTGTAAGGAAGCTACAATGTGCTAGATAATAGCTTGCAAACACCGAGTAGGAAGATTTCTGCAGTACAGTGTTACTCACTGTGCTTTTAGCAGGTCCTTCTCTCTCTTCTCCAGTTCTGCTCTGGCTTTATTCCTTTCTTCTTCCTCCATATCAAGTTTTGCTTCAAGTGCCCTCCGTTCTTCATCAATACGTGCTTGCATCTCTGCCATTTTATCTGGAGATACCTTCTTCTTGCCTACAAATACATGGCCAGTTAATATGACAAAGGTGCGGCAAATTCATGCTGCTGAATTAAACAAACCACCGTCCAGTAGATTCCAAACACATAAACACAGCTTTAGAGCTGCAACAGTTATTCGAATTAAGTCGATTAAAATCGACGATGGAAAACGTTGTCAACGTTTTCCATCGTCACAGCTTGTATTTGAATGTTTGAACATTCAATACAAAGTTATAGCGAGCCCTCATACATACATTTATACACAGACCAAAAGTTATTATTTCGCAGTATGTTAACCAAGCTGATTATCTCAGTCCTTTCTTAGAAAGTCATGTATGGTCCAATTCCAATATATGCTAGAATTCTTAAGTGTAATAAAATTGTCAGTATGATGAATAATGACTTGGCGGAATGGGTCTGATTTGTAAAAATGAGAAAACATCTATGTTGAGAATAATAAGAGATTACAACTGTGTTTCAACAAAGGTCAGAAATTTGTTACCAATGGCAAGACCACCCCATTGCTTTCCAACGGGCTTTTTAAATATTATTTTTATATATGAGAAGAGTAAGAGTTATGAGATGTTAGCCACTGGTAGCAGCAGGAAAATAAAAACCTATGTGATTAGCAACTGCATATAATGTATTTATATGGTGATATGAAATCAATAGACTAGTTTGGATTCCCGGACACTAAAACATACACAGTTAGGTATATAAAACGCATCAGTTATGTGTTTACTTGCCTGCATACATATAATACATATAAAACAAATCACTTTTAGGAATACAACTTTTCATTATGGAGATATCCACAGCAACCTCAAACCACTCATAGGAGAAGCACTTGCCTAAGGCCTAAGCAATTGTGAACAAAGCAGATCAATGCCTGCAACATAACTACAAAAGAACCATATCACTTAAAAAGACTGAGCTCAAACCCATCACACCAACCTGATGGTTCTTGCATTAGGAAGCAGTAATTAATCGCGGGCGAGCAGCAATGGAGAGAAAAAAACAAAAACATGGACATTATAGTACTCTGGCAAAAAGTTATACCTGGTCACATGCAGATTTTGCTGAACCAGGCTGAAAATTTGAGCAACTGAAGAACCAAGCAATGTATTACATTAGTGTGTTAAATGTAAGCATTTAAAATCCCATTTATTTTGCATCATGGAAAGAGAATTACACACAAGTAACATGCAGCCTTAATAAGACTTGTACAAAAAAATTCTTAAAAGGTTTAGTTTACCTTTCTGGCCATGTTTCATGTTATACCTATATTTAGGGTGTACCATTGAAACAGGGAAAGAAGTTTGAATTTTTCGTGGCCATGTGTGGCTCCACCTCACACATCTACTCAATGCATTTGTAGTCCAATGACACTTTCTTCTGCACATATCACTGAATGTCCATACCTTGGAACGGACATGGGCAGGAGGAAGAGTCTGCAGAAGCCAGAGCATTGCACCAGTGGTCTACTGTTAAGGATGCAATGCTTCACTGGCTCCTATGAAAAAAAATAATATTGTTTTATTTTATGAAGAAATGTGCATTTATTACTTTTTCTAAAATGCGGAGTTTCCCTTAAAACTATAAGATGCACTTTTATAACAGATGTTGTTGAACTAATTTCAGAATGTCTGAAAGAATGCACCAGGGGAATTTCAGTGCACTATGCCTGACCACTACGTCTCTGCAATATGACCTAGCTTTCTATTGTCAGAGATCGCTCTGACTGGTCATAGATACAGCATGGTTTTAAAGAGGGGCAGGCACAGAAAAAAAATGTTTTGGTTTTTTTTAGGCGTTCAGCTAATTTGCTTTACTAGCAGGACTAGAAACTAAAGCTTGCCATACAGTGATCCAATATCGACAGAGTACTTCTGAGTTGGGCACATGGCCGCATGTCTATATAACACAGACTGATGCACATATGGCCCAGTATGCCTGTAGCCGCAGAGATCTGCATATATCTATTCTGCGAATAACCACGCACAGCCGTAGCCTGCCATTGATCTGAACAGGCTGCTGGGACGCTAGTGTACACTGCGCCTGTAACTCCTGGGATGCAAAATAGAGCCATAATATAGGCCTACGGCCCTTTGCAGCCATGTGCATAAGCCTTAGAAACGTTCCAAGTACAGAAAAAAAAAGTCTGTTGATCTGCTGGAAATTCCTGCAGTAAACCAACAATGCCACCTCATCTGCACTGAAATCCCAAACAGTGTCTATGTTCTCTGCAGCTGCTCTACAGACCACCTACCCCTTGTGTTAAGGGGGATGAGAAAAGGGGTATTTTCTGGTCTAGTAGGGTTCAAAACGACACTTCTGAAATCGAATGGATTCAAGAGCTAATAACACGTTTTTGAGATCTTTCAAAAATGCTTCACAAATGCATGTTAGCCAAAACAAAAAAAACCCAAGCACCCATGTAGGCGAACCCTATAAATGTACCAGACTACAGTACAAGTCAATTTAAGTTTACAAATCTACCTAGGCCTACACAGTAAGATTCTGTTTCAAATTTGGTCTGTCCAATCAACAAAATCTAGCTAGGTGGTCTAGTGTGATGGTCTACCTGATTAGACATAATTTGAATGCATTGTTTAAAGTAAGCTTTCAAATTGCATAGTTGCTGAAATAGCAAACCTGAAACAAAGTTTGTGCATGGCAAGCTTTCGACACAGAATGCAGTGCAGACCCTAATGCAGGCAGTGTAAACGGGGAGCTTGGTGATGGTTGTGTCAGTTGAAAGAGCCGGTGTTCAGACAATATGGGTGTTTAAGGACTCCTGTTGATGGCTATATAAAAAGGCAGCTCCATGCAGCAAGGGCCAATATGATCTCTTAAAAGGCCATCTACACAAGCCTAAGGAGTATGAGCTAGTTTATTATTTGGACTTTCACCCACTTACTGAACAGAGAAATACTGCAGCACTTAAGGTTGGACAGATTTTCTAACATTTTAATTTTGTTGTACCAAATACCAACCACGGAGATATTTAAAATTTCTCCTTCAAAACTCACTCCTTTACAACTCCTCCTCCTAATAGCTCTTGCAAAGTTACCCAAAGTCCACTCACCTTCTTCTCCAAACCCAAGTTACTTCTCAGAAACATCACTAGTCACACTGTTCCTCCTTAGTTTGTCAACTACTGTCCAATTTAAATGTTTCTGGTGTAACACATATTGTAGATTTCATAGGCAGCAATCCCTTCATTAAATAAGGTTGTTTATTCTGTATAAATTCAGTGACATACAGTATATTTAAATGTTGATTACACGATTCTGTGCCTTCAGTAGATCAAAAAGCTTTTCTGCAATATGATCACTTTTCATATCTAAACAATAGGGGAGGTGGTCCATTATAAACTGCATTAGTGGCCCACTGTGTTACATGCCAAGAACTACCTAATGTAATTTTTTTTAAATGCAACTCCAAACCTTTTTTTTGGCTTTACTTCTCTATTGGGTCAAAGGAATACATTTACAGGGTTATTTCACAAAAGGGTGAAGGGTTTGGAGAAGGCAGGAGAAGTGACCAATCTAGGACAACATAGCTGATTTGGAAAAATTCTCCAATTCAGCTCACTTTCCAGTTCAGTTATGTTGTCCTAGATTGTTCACTTCTCCTGCCTTCTCCAAACTCTTCATCCTTTTGTGAATAACCCTGTCAATCTTTGTCCTTCCTCCGACAAACCCAAGTCATTCGTCAGTCATCATCCTCAAACCTGAATACTTCAGACACCCAGCAGTCAGCATCTATTTTTCAACCAAATAATTTTTTATGCTTTGCAGAAGTAGAACTGCATCTGGTTTGACTAATGGCTGGTTTTGTTGAATAAAATACATTTAGAACAAGTTAATATTCCTTTGTGAATATAGGCTTCATACTTCCATATAAAGGGAGGAGTGAGGGGGAAAGGTGAGGATACCTAATGATTTACCATTATGGAGAAGGTGAGAAGAGATAGTGTGAGAAGGGCAACTGACTGGGTTCAGAGAAGGGATGACAAAAGGTATGGAAGAGAGGTGAGGACAAAGGTTTAGAGGAGGGATGATTAGGGCTTATATAGTTGTACATTATGGTTTATAAGCAGTATTGAGGTGACCTGAAAGCCAGCGAATTTTAAAGAGCAATTCATTGGATTGATGAAACATGAGGAAGGTTTTAAAGAAGAATTGTAAATGTTTGGGGAAACACTATAACACATTCATTTTAAGGAGCCAATATGGAGATCAGCTTATATTTAAGGCTAGTCTGGTGGGTGAAGTAAACCAATACATTCTGCTTCACTAAATATTTTACCATACATATAGAACAGCACAGATACAACAAATGGTAAGGAAACGATTGTTTCTTCTTAGAAAAAGGCAGGGCATATGATCAGAGTGCAATATATTTCACAGCAGAGCATTCGCAAAGTGTTGGGATGTGAAAGAAAGTAACGGCAGTAAAGATGAAAGCATGCATTGGGGGTTTTCATCCATATTGCTTCAATAGCAAGTAGCAGTGCAGCAACTGAATGGGGAATACAGAGCATGTTCAAGCGTTAGCTCAGGAGCTGCCACTCACTAGGTAAGTTCTTATCCACTGGTCTCTCTATCACTGTGGAACCAGAACTGCTACTGCTGCTACTGCCTGGAAAGAAAAAAAGATGGCCCCAAAAGATATAATGGAACACAATTCATGGCAAAACAAATGTCAACACGGCAAATGTGAACAGAATACCCGAACAACACCTGCACGCATTTCAACAAAATGCACAATCTGGAACACAACACACAAAGATTCCCTTTACTGGAAAGCAGAACAATTAAGGATAAGAAATGAAAAAGGCCTAAACTTCCTAAAGAAAATCAAACAACTGTTAACAATATTTCTATAAGAAACTTGCATGCATCTGATTATAAAGCTGGGTACACAAGGATTGAATTCAGTCGACTCAGCAGGAATCGGGCAAAATTCGCTCCATGGGTGGCACTATCTTACCAACAAAAGTCAATCATCAGATTGACTTATGTCGAAGAAACAGGTTTTAGAAATTGTCAGGTGAACAGTGCTTGCAGCCAAATCAGCTGCAAGCACGGTTCAGGTATTCCAACAGCGATTGGCTCCTCTATCAAAATACAATGGACACAATGGGAGATTTGTTCATCCACATTGTTAGTGCGGATGGGCGAATCTATCAGATTTTTTTCATTTAGCCTTGCGGTCTGAAAAAAAAAATATCTTTGCTTGTGTACACATCTTAAGAAATGACATAATTCCGAACGATTACCAACTAACCACTGGGAAGAGGCATGATGATCATAAGAAGCAAAGATGTAATTAAACGCATTGATGAGCTTGTTTAGAAAGTCCTTTTTATATTTTTATAAATGCCATGCATGATTTTGGTAGGCACATTTGACCAAAAGCTCATCTAGGAGCATCAAATGATGGGACTGGCTACATACAATTAGTGCACAGAACAAGTAAAATAAATGAATAAGTGACATCAAATTATCTGAGATCAATTGAGTTACACTGAAAGAAAAGATTTTATCAGCAGACCAGTATGTTTAATAAAACTGAAAAACCATTTCACGATAAACTTATCATGAGATAAAGTACAAATGTATGGTTTCAAAGTTTCAAACTCAGCGGTGTCTCTTTTTCTGCATCCAAATACTTTAGAACATTAATATAAGATCAATCATCATTATGTGATTGATGCAGACCAATGTCTGCACACAAACTGCATGATGATTTCTTTAAATTTGGCATCCGTTATATAATTAAACTCAGCATCATTTGTTTGCAAAACATTTTGCTGTAAGGAAAGTGGCCATACAACAGCCCATTCTGATACATCAGCAGTGGAAGAAGAGTGCAACACTGAGACATGTGATTTCACAATGAGTAACGCTGAACTGATTCATTAGATTAAAAATATCAGTAAAAACTAGAAGAAAATGGGGCTTTCCACTATAAAAACAAAAAACAAAAATAGAAAGCATTACTGGCCATGCAAACAGCAATAAAAAGATACTGCTATCTAGGGGAGAGGATGTGCTGGTTTCGGTAGCAAGTAGGCTGTCAAGACCACACTAAACATCACGAGTGGCACAGACCCAACTAATCTGTGGCATTTCTGGGAAGTATCAGTTATATTTAGCTAGTTTTAGGTTTTACTGGAAGAGATACACCCTTTTATGTATTTAATAGTTCATGAACTGATCCCTAAACCTATACCTGGAAACTTAAAGTTTATTTTTGTTAAATAATTAAAGCAGACTAAAATTACAAGTTGTGCCTATTTAGGATGTTCCCTCCACCCCCTATCTCAAAATGCTGCAAGGAAAAGAAAGAAAAAGGGCCAATATACTTGCTTTGCCATACTCCCAGCCACAGCACCTAGGTGAGGGTAACATCATCCTCCTTCCAGCAAGACCCCCAGGGATGCAGAGTAGCTCAGATCTCGTGAGAAGGCAGTACTGCGCTGTGTTGTTATCTCGCAAGGTTTGGACTACTCTGCATTCTTAGTCAAAAGGATGGTGACATCACCTCCTGAAATATGGAAGCCAGGTGAATGGTAAGCACATTACCTTACTTTTTCTGTTTTCCTTTTCCGTTGCAGAGTTTTAGGATGCGAAGGGGGAGTAGTTAGGGGAAAACTAAATAAGCAGATATTGTATGAAGTGCAAAGCCCGCTTTAAATAAAAGGGTCACAGAGACTGACTGCACTGTGGAGCAAAGCAGATAATTCACCCTCCCTGTCTGCCGGGTCATGGAAATGCCAGATTTAATAAAAGGAATGCTATAAAGTGGGAATAGAATCATGGCGCTTCTAACTCCAAGATAAGAGTCACCAAATTAAAAGTATACAGGGCTTTACTTTAATAGTTGAATACAAGAGGAATGTTATTCAGTTATGCAGGTAGGAAGTTTCAAAGGATGTCACCAGCACACTGAAATGTTTTGTGCAGCAAAAGTCCATTTATTGACAAAAAATTGCCACTGAAATGCAAGCGCTTTCGGGGCCGCACAGGGTCCCCTCATCAGGCTCAGAATGACCTGCTAGCTATGCAGTGTTGCATTCATGTGCGGATCATAAGACTGGCTGAACTGAACATTTTAACACATATAAAAGCTCATACATTGTTATTCAAACTGTGTATTTAGCTCTTTATCTGGGGTTTCAATTTAAATTTGTGAGAATCCTACATTTAAAAATCAAATCATTTGGGAACCAGGGAAAAAACAAACAATCTTCCCTGTAAGTTAATGGAGACCAATCTTGGAAAACGAAGAACCATACCTCTAACCCTACAGTCTGAGTAAAAGAGGTCTTGCAATGTTTAGGTATCTCTTATAAGAAATGTTAGCTTCAAATGTTTTCCCCAAAATACCTCTGTATATACAAGGCATAACAGTTATAGTAGCTATAAGTGACTACACTCTGTTTCCCTCAGCTGAGATGATTGTGACTTCCAATGAATGCACATGAGAACTGGACAGTTATAATGTATAGTACAGGTAGCATAGGGTTACTATAAGTTTTATCTGTTCAGGCATATTGCTGTTGTATGTTGATGATAGGTCTGCTTTAAGTGATCACAGATCTGCCACATTAGTATTAAAACAAAAAAAAATTATCAAACCAGTGTTCTTTGAAAAGCTCCAGCTCATCGAAATCTCCAACTACCTCACTTCCGGTGCAAAGAAAGACTGGAGCTCTGTCCAGTTGCCGTGTGCATGCACGCATAGCATTTTCAGAATACTCGTCCAGTTTGCCACCTGCTGAATATTGTTAAAATGTAGCTGTACAGAGCTCCGTCAATCTTTGCGTTTTGCAGTCTAACGTCGTCTGGTCAAAATCTGCAACTTGCAAGTACGAGTTGGAGCTTTCGATAGAACACCGGGTTTCTCATATTTATGATAAGGGAAAACAATAATAGCATCACAAACAATAATAAATGTTTTTACCCAACATTCCCACAACTAAGATTCGATTAGAAAAAAGGGTTACTTTTGTGCGAAAGTTGTATGAATCTTGGGTGAAACCATTGAGAAATAGACCCATAAATGCTTATGCGTATGAGTCCGTACTGTATGTATTCATTACAATAGAAGTAAAGTGAAGCCTTTTGACCTGAGTGATCAGGGGATACATAATAAGTCAGTTTTCTAGATATAGAGCCGGCGTGTGACAGCTACAGTGTCCCACTACTCCAGATTTAAGTATTGGGAAGAACATATTTTACTCTGCCATTACTTCTCTTAGGCTCTGTTCACACCTAGGCGTATTGAATATGCGCGTTTGTCGCGTGTTCCGTGACAAACGCGCGTTTCCGAGGGCTACTTGGCTGTATCCCAATGGAGACAAAAGCGCCGCAAAGAAGCTCATGTACCTTTTCAGGCGTAGGCCGTTTTGTAGTGCGTTCAGCCGGGCTGAAATACGGCAAGGTGTGAACCAGACCCATAGAAAACAATGGGATTTTCATGTTTGAGCGTTTTGTAGAGCGTTCGTAGAGCGTTGAACGCGCTACAAAACGTACAGGTGTGAACCATGCCCTAAAGTGAGGATCAGCTGCAGTAATTTGTTACACCCCTTATCTTATAAATATCCAGATGTAGTTCATGCTAAATTCATTGTAAGCATTGCTATCTGCAATAATAATCTGCAGCATTAAGAGTTTTATGCAGCTTTCCTTTAAAATTCTGAAATTTAGATTTAGTCTCCAGGTAAGGCAATCTGTACTGGGGACTTCTACATAATTTCCATTGATTTTTTTAAATTACTTCCCTAAAAATCCATGATAAATAAAAAAAAATCCTCTATATACAAGGCAACACTTCGAGTCACAAACAGCTCTTTTTAAAGCCTATGCAAATTTGGTGTGCATCCATGTAGATTTAAAGAAAAATTCCAAGCAAATAAAATCTCCACCCTTGCAGTGGGGCTACCCCCACACTGCAAGGGCTAAGGGCTTATTTTGTCTAGGGAATTAAAGTTATACTCACCCAAACCACGATACCAGCTGGCTCCTCCTCCGCTCAAGTTCGATACACTGTATTAAAAAGGGGATGTATTGCAGGGACAAGTCTATAATTTTGCCACTTTATAGATCATTGGTTCGACCTCATCTGGAGTACGCGGTCCAGTTCAGGTCACCAGTACTGAGAAAAGATGTCCTTGAGTTGGAAAAAGTCCAGCGGAGGGCAACCAAACTAATTAGGGGTATGGAGGACCAGAGCTACGAGACAAGGCTACTAAATTTAAACATGTTCACATTGGAGGTGAGGAGATTAAGGGGGGATATGATTTTCATGTACAAAATGTTCAATGGTGGCAGCAACATTAGCGATAAACTGTTTAAAATTAAATCCATTACAAAAACTAGAGGCCATCAACTAAAATTGGTGGAAAGAAAATTCCAAGCGATTTTCCCTGGGGCCAGTGGCGACTGCTGGCGCTGTGGGGTCAACCCCCTCCGCCTAGGGCGTTCCACTCAGATGTGTGCAGACAGTATAGTCTGCACACGATCTGGCGTAAGATCAAAGGGGACCCTCATTAAGTCTATCGGCCATAGGGTTGTGAAAGCTTAAAGTTTGCAATATGATGTATTCTCCATTTTTCTTTTTATTGCATTGTATCTGTTCCGTGGCTGCGTCCACTGCTTCTACGTTGGTAATTGTTTCCCCTGCTTGCTATGTACGCTTATATGTTTGCTCAAAAAAAAAAGATAAATAAAAGAATTTGTAAAAAAAAAAAGAAAATTCCAGCACAAGGGGCGAAGGGGGTTCTTCACAGTAAGATCAGTTAGGGTCTGGAACTCACTGCCACAGGCGGTGATTTCAGCAAAGAATGTGGAATTGTTCAAGAAACTTTTGGACGATTTCTTAAGGGACCGTAATATACAGGGGTACAGGTACTCCTAGAATGAGATCCTAATAGGTTGGACTTGATGGACTAATGTCTTTATTCAACCTCAAATACTATTTAACTATGTATAGGATGTGATGACTCAGTGGACGTTAAACCACTCAAGCGGAGGAGAAGACGGGCAGAAGGAACTGGTCTATTTGCCAGCCAGGATCAGGGTTTGGGTGAGTATAACTCTGTTATTTATGCCCCCTAGACAAAACAAGCACTTAACCCTTGCAGTGCGGGAAAAGCCCCACTGAAAGGGTTAAGATTTTATTTGCCTGGAATTTTTTCTTTAAGGCACAACAACCTTAGCAGCATGACAGTAAAGGCACATGCATAGGACTGTAGCAATGTTTTTTTTATCAGTACAGCCTTTTTGTTTTATTTTTTTGGCTCTGAATTGCTTTCTTTGTGCTCATGCACACAGCAGTGTAAAGATTAGTACATTTGCACTACGTTCAAGTCTTTAAAATCAAAATGGAAAAAAACTGCGTCTGAGGTGCGTAAGACCTCATTCACATGGGTAAATGGCCGCCCGTACAGATCCGTGCTGCGTGCACGGCCGTATCGGGCCGCTCCCGGGAAGGACAGGTGTTACGTGTGATTTGTACGCAGCAGCCTGTCCTTCTCTATGGGATTATGCGGCCGTACGCCGCCCTACGCTCACCCGAACTGCACGTCTGTACGGGTGTCCCTGCTCGGGCGCAGACAGGATTAAAAAGTTTCAATTTAATAAAATGGTATGGAAGTAGAATTTGACGCGCCTGACCGCTGCAAGTATGTTTACGTGCCTATACGCGTGTAAACACAATCACTTTGCTGACCATTTCATGCATTTTTTACACAGGATCTATCTACCAGCAATTTATTGTGTAGATCAGGGCTCAAAATTTCGACTCGTCTGCTCGCATTTGGCGAGTGGAAATGCAGTGCAGGCGAGTGGAAATGCAGGGCAGGCGAGTGGAAATTCCTGACAGGCTTGCGGTCTTGGACCGTGTACCTGACTCGTGGGAGCAGCTGCTCCTGCTGGTCTTTCTCCCTTACTTTCGGCCGGAGCTCTTCACTGAACTCCGGGTCGAAAACGAAGTGATTAGTAATGTCTGCAGACCTTACTAATCACACTAGATCACAAATTATTTAAGAGTGTGTGTTTAGGGGCGGAGTTAAGGCCGCGGGAGGGTAGGGGTTAGGTGGGCAACTGGTGGCGAGTAACTCTTAAGGCCTGGCTAGTAGCTCAGGACTTGAAATTTTGACCCCTGGTGTAGATGATCAGTATTGTCACAACCGCTATGTGCATGAGGCCTAAAAGTAAAAGTGTTACCTACATTGTCAGCAACAGCATCCTACTGCTTCACGTGTTTGAGAACTGCTTTAAAGAATGCAATGTAAGTTGTGCTTCAGAGGAACACATTTTAAAAACATCAAAGTTCAGGTGATGTGTTATTAATAGGAAAACTGTGACACATATGTACAATGTGTGTTAATTTACTCTATAGCCTGCTATACAGTGTACACACGTGATTGCAATTCCCCACTGTTGCCAAATATATCTCACATTGCTCTGCCATAATTTATCTGTGTAGCCATTTTTACAAACGAAAAGTGAAATCACCATTGGATAATCAATATGTGGAATGATTAGCAGATTGGTGAGGTAAATCTCACAACCCTGCCATGACACTACACGAAAAGAACGAGCAGGAAATCTCTGATAAAAGATCATGCGATAAGCTTTCCGCTAGCGTGATATTCTATGATCTCAGCTGAATCACTAGTGGAACTTCTCAGCCTGTGAGTAATGCGGATGCTGTAGTATTTGAGGTCACAGACTGGACAATGTACAAGTTTAAGACAAGATGGACTTTACTAGGTAGATTATAATGAGCAATTTGCTTTTTATCTCGTTTGCTCATTTAGAAGTTAAACACAGTTAAAGCAGCTGTTACTATTATATAAATACTGAGCAATAATAACAATAATAGTTAAAGTAATTCTAATGCCCCAACTTTTTTTCCCATTAAGGAGAGAGCAGGGAAGGGTTAAAACACCGGTCAGTTTTTTATGACATCTGTGTCCCAATATAAGGTTTCCCTTCACTTCCTGTCCTGTAGACTTAACCGAGGGTAAGAGGATGTCTCTCAATGTGAGGGAAATCTCCTCTAAGGCAGTTGTCACAGGAACATGGAAGATTTCCACTCTATTCCTGTTCTGGTGGCAACCCAAAAATATGGATTTACCCTCACGTTCATTCCCGGCGACATTAGTGATCAGGGCACTTGGAGAGAGTGAATCTTCCTAACAGGGACACAGACAGCAATACAAACTAGGCTACCAAATAGGGCTGCAACTAATGATTATTTTCATAAATCGATTGCACTGGAACACACAGTACTGCAATGCCGTGCGTTCCAGTGCGGGCAATCACACTGTGGATGAGAGGCGCGTTTGGGGTGCTATTGAAATGAATGGCACAGCAACGCACCTCCCACAGCAGAATTTGTCAGGCCAAAACCGAAAAATGACTTTTTCCCACCTTTTATAATTCTTTTTTTAATAATTGTATTGTAAGCACATGGCACTTGAATAGCTTCAGCCAGGGAATGACAGCTGCCAGTGCCAAGATTCCACAGACAGCAGCTGAATGTACATACAGCAGGTAGAAGGCTGGTGCAATCACCAGCCTGCTATTGGCCATTTCAAATTGCAATAGCTGGCTGGCAATTGCACCTGCCCACTGCTTGCTGTGCCCTCCTACCAGCATGAAGGAGAGAGCTAGGGGGTCCAACCAACTAATCGATAATGAGAATAGTTGGCAACTATTCTCATTATTATTATCGATTAATCAATTAGTTGGTTGCAGCCCTACTGCCAAACCAGCTGCTGACCAGCCTGAAGTACTCCCATCACAACGTCATACAACTTTCAAGCAGCAAAGACTGTAGTCCACATATATGATTTCTCTCATGAGGCCCTGATGACGGGGGTGTGCTTCGGAACGCTGAAACACGTTGGCTTCCCTACTTGAATCTCCCCTGACCTTAATGGAATAAAGATGCATCTGAACTATTTTAATTGGTATGCCGCTTCAATTCCGACATCTACTAGCCATAAAAAACAGAGTGGTTCAATCTCTCACCACTCTATCCAAATCTAAAAAAAGTTTTGGCTTTAGCTATACTCACACTACACTCATGTATGAATTCCTAAGGACCTACACAGACAGAAGCCACAGGGCACTGTAACCACTCACATATAAATCTGTCATAAGAGGGTTCTTGGTATCAATCTAATAAGCCGTACACTCAGATTCTCCATATCACATACAACTTGTGAAAGCCAACTTTATATAAAAAAGTCACATCTTCTGGAAACAGCGCCTAGATTATGAACACCCCCACAGCTACTTAACTAGGAGCACACCAAAAACCAATACATCCTGAAATCTCACTCAGCTCAAGTTCAAAATACTGAACTCATATACTTTGGCAATAATGTGATGAGAACTAAACAAAAGCAAAGATAATCAATACAATGCAGATAAAGCCAAATCTGAAGCGAGGAGATCTTACCTCTTCGTCTCTTTTTCTTTTCTCCATCCTCTCCAATTTCCCCGTCTTCATCGTCATCATCATCTGATCCACTGTCTTCAGAACCAGAAATTTCCTCTCCTAACAAAATTGAATGGAATGGATGAAACACTGGGCCTAAAAACAAATGAGTACCTACAGAATGCTTTCAGTAAGAGCTATATCATTTATTGGCTGGTCTAGCACCATCTAAAGGACAACACTACTTGTCTGTTGTGCAGGTAGGTCTTCTCTTATAAGATTTATATAAAAGCTGGCCAACATGGATTAAATTTCGCCCGTTTACAGCTGAATGGGCCGAAATGCGATCCACAGGTTGCCCTGCCAGCAGCACCTGGCTCCACAAAAGTTGATTCTTTAAATCATCTTTTCTTTTAAAAAGCTGGGTGGAAAATTGTTGGCTGAACAGTGACTGCAGCCAATCAGATGCGCCTGCCGCTGTCAAGAGTACAATAGCCCAGCAGGGGAGATTTCTTAATTCACGCACTTTAGTGTGAATGGGGGAAGTGAGTGATTTTTCTAGTTCAGCACACGGGGTTGATCGATGGAACATGTTAAAAAGGTGCATGGCCAGCCATAGTCACTTTATTTAGTTGTATTGAGGGCACATTCACACTGGCCCATCCGCTAAAACTAGAGGTGCACCGAAATGGAAATTTTAAAACCGAAACCGAAATAAAAAAAAATGTCAGGCCGAAACTGAAATTGTTTTTTATTTTTTCAAATTTCTTTTATATTTTATTAATTCATTTTTTATACACTTAAATTTTTTTATATTTATTTTTATTAATTCATTTTTTATTAAATATTTTTATTTTTTACTTTTAGGGGCTTCTGGGAAATATAAGGGGGCTAAACAGACCCCTGATATTTCCCTTTTAAAATAGAAAAAGAGATTGAGAACACAAAGTCCTCAATCTCTTTTTCTGTGTCCCCTGTTATCAATGAACAGGAATCCTCTATGAGTCTTCCTGTTCATTGATAACATGAGTACATTGTTTGTTTACTAGAACTACAATTATGAATGAATGGGGGTGATGTAGATCATTTCCCATTCATTCATAATTGAGGCTATAGTTAACATTCCATATCCTCAATTATGTACACACACTCAGAGATCACTGATCACTGAGTGTGTGTACCTTGCTTTTTTCTCTGACATGCTGTCACAGGAGGCTGATCGAGCGGTGTAGGTAGAAAGGCCCAGCCTCCTGTGACAGTGTCTCTACCCCCACACCGCTCTGCCGGACTGTGATAGGCAGCAGAGCGGTGTGGGAGGAGACGCCGGCCGCTCACAGCGCTCTACACCTCAGCGCTCGGCCGGCTGTCACTTTCTCTTCTCCCCGCTGGGACATAGAGCAGCGCCCAGCGGGGAGAAAATAAATCACGGATGCGCCGATGTATCGGCAGGAAAATTGCACTTTCGGCATTATGCCAAAAGTGCCATTTTCGGCCGATATGTTTCGGCGGCCGATATATCGGTGCATCCCTAGTTAAAACACTGCATTTTAGCGAACGGGCTAGTGTGTTGTGGCAGTTTCGGTAGTGTGTGTTTCGCACACTGCTTAAGCTGTCACTGTTTACATTTTTTTTTTCAACTTTATGTGCAATGAACACTCCATTTAGGTCTGATCTGTTGTGGCCTGCAGCGCGCTGCGATAAAATGCAGCAGGTCTCCATTTTATCACAGCGCACAGCTCATCACACCAGCGTTGTAGTGTGAATTGGACACACAGAAAACAATTGTTTTCTATGTGTCCTTGCAGTGACTTATGTTGATCCGGTGCGGTGTAACACAAGTCACTGCAACATGTGTGAATGGGCCCTTACGCTGTCTGATTCTGGAGTCTTCAGCCTTAGAGATGGGGGTCTGAGGTCACCTGAAATCTGATAGCGGCTGCCCTGTCAACTGTCTGAACTCAAGCACTACGTCACAGCCTCAGAGTATGTACAATGGCACCAAATAACAAAACCCTGTAATTATGTTCTCTATAACCATAAGACTCTACTATCTGATACTGTTATACACTCTTAGGAGCTGGGTAATGGTGTGCAGTCAGGCAGCTGACAGAGCAGCAACTCTGCCTCTCAAGCTGCAAAGTAAGTTTAATTAAATGAGGGGAATAATACATTTTTCACAAGAAAACCTTTCAGCTTTAAGACTAAATATTCAGATTCTGAAATAATCCCAGTTGGTTCTCGTTAACAGTTTCATAATGCACCATTTAGCAAAATTCTGGAAGTTTTGAAGTGCATTATGAGAAGGCCCGTTTCTAAAAGCTGCCCATCCCTGATGTCCTCAAACATATTCATATCAGTTGAACATTACCTTCGTCAAGTTTCTTTTTGAGCTCCTCAATTTCTTTCTGAAACTGGCGCAAAAGTGCATCTTTGGGATCTTCATTGATTCTGGCCTTATTCTTGATATTTTTGGCTCGGTTTGCATAACGGAGAGTGCTGATTGTCTCGTCGTAATTGTAATCTGCAGGACCGATGTTTGCACACTGTAAAAGTACATATGTGTGGAAGAATCATTAAAAACATCTGAAGTCTATTACAATCTTTAGATTGCTCATTAGAGAATATCTCAGTAAATGTACTACTATTAACTCGAAATTCTTTTTTAGGTCAGTGAAGACTAATGATCCGAAATATACAATGCAATACACAGTGAACCAAATAAATCTTCCTCTCCTTAGCTAAATGTGGATTATGCTTTATATATCATGTTATGAAGAAAGCTAGGCTTAGTATTGTCACACCTAGTACCAATTAATCCTTGCTGATACAGAATACTACTGAGTAACCTCTTACGTCCCAAATTAAACCGCATGAACAAAAACTACATACATGATAGAAACTTTGATACTGATGGACTTGCAGAAAATGTTTACATACGGTTTTAATGCTCACTGCCATGATGATAGGCATGTAACAAGTACAGTGTCTCTTACCATCATTGTCTTGGAATTTCCTCCCAGTGAATCCTGTAGCAGTCGGGTGAGTTTGGAGTTCCTATATGGCACGTGAGTGCTCTTCCCATCAACCAGGGCAGAGATGACGTTACCCAGGGTGGAAAGTGACAGATTAATTTTTGTGGCTTCTTTCAGTCTTTGTCCCGTTGCTCCTGTCTTTGTTTGCCTTTCAGAACCCTAATGAGTTGAAGAAAACAGACATTGATGGTAACAATCCTTTTTCAAACCCAATACTTTATTTTTGCCAAGCATAACTCTCAGAACAGAAAACTACATGCACTGACACCTAAATATATTCATAAATACATATGCATACAATTAGATGAATAATAAAACAGACAAAATTACACACTTTAAAACACTATGATATTAGTAGCAATGGAGGCGTTCCATGCCCATAAATGTATGTTGCTCTCCAAAACTCCTCATTTTATTTTTCAACAAAGCTCCTAAAGCCCGAATCCACATTTACAAAGACCATCCCAACACGGTGCTAAAAGGGTTTATTGAAACCTTTAAACATTAGCCCCGCTGGGTGCAAGAATACTTTCCTGTGTTGCCGAGTGCTGTGCAATGCATAACAGGATTATAATGGGGTATATTTGAAGATAATTTGCAGAGATCTTCGTCCTGTGAACATCTGTGAGCGTTCGTTTTGGGAAAGTATTTCCAAAATTGAATGTTTAGTATATTTTTCCCACTTTGATTGTAGTGTGTTGTTGAAAGAATACATTACGCCCACTAGATGGAGATGAGAAGCCTAGGAAATAAGTATTTATCTAGTGGCTATAATCCATTATTGCAACACTACATTCAACAGGCACAAAACCATCAAAGTAGTATTAAACGCTCAATCTTCAATAATGAATCCAGAACATATATACATTGCCCAGCAAAGTATTTATTTACAATGGAGGGAAAGGACCGTTCGCTGAAACGCAGGCATAGAAGGAAGGGAGAAGGGTGGGGGGGGGGGAGCGAGAGGGGGCCAGATTGAGCGGGTAATTCAATTTTTCCTAATTACTTGAACTTACCCTTTAATGAACATTGTGCATGTTGGAGAGTACTGCTGGCCAGCTACCACAATATAGCACACAGAGGAATGGGGGCAGCATTCAGCGCGCACGCACACAATGCCCTATGCGTGTTTATTTATTTTTCTTTTTTTTTTTACTTTTTATCAATGTATTTATTTCTGTACAGCTTTACTTGTGACAGCTTACACAGGAGCGCTGCTAGTACAGCGGTCCCGTGTCACTGATCCCCCGCTCTCCATCCTGAAGGCATTTGCCGTGGTTCCGGGTCCCCCAGAAGAGTAGGGGACCCAGAAAACCACAGCTGATTACAAGTAATCCGATTGGCTGTACAGCAAAACAGCACCCCCGCTCTACATTTAGCCCTGCTTACCAAAGCAGGGATAAATTTAGTTTAAAAAAAAAACACTTGCCTTGTGCCCAGAACTGCATGTCCTGGGGAGCAGGCTATAGGAATTCCGCACCCCTGATCTACTGGCATGGAGAAGGGAGGAGAGGGAAGAGAGGGAGGCAGGGTGGAGGGGATTGGCTTGCTTTGCTGGGCCTGTGTGTTTATGGAGACACACACAGCTTACTAGCACACACAAGGGTGGCGCCATAGGACCCTGCAAGGCAAAGGAACCACCCTAAAATAGGATATCAGGGCCAGTGCTCAGGGCATCAGCTGATTCTGCAGGAAACAAACCTTTTAAACATCAAGGAGCAACATCCATTGTAAGTGATATAATTAACATTTCAAATTGCTTAAAAACATTTTGATTTTAATATTACTTAAAGGAGAACTATGGGGTCAGTGTTTTTCCCCATAGTTCTCCTTGGGGTAACGGGAGGACACAAACTAGCGTCCTCCCGTTACCCTAAGCTCAGTATACCGCGAGCTACAGCTCGCGGTATACTGAGACGCCGCAGCCGGAGCGGATCCCGACATCAATGTCGAGATCCGCCCAGCTGCGTGAGTGACAGCTGGCTCTGCCTATCTAGAGGCAGAGCAGGCTGTACCCGCCCCCTCCCCCGTCCGTTCCGCCAGTCAGCGCTGGCAGATCGGAGCGGGGAGAGGGGAATCCAGCCCCTCCCCCTGTCACGGCAGAGAGCCGTGACAGGATCGAGAGGTGAGGGAACCCGGTATGTTTTCGCTCACCTCCCCATCTACTGAGCCGACCTGTGACAGTCTCATTGTCACAGGTCGGCTTAGAACTATGACATGAGTGGAAATCACTCATGTCATAGTTCTCCTTTAACAGAATTCCATAGCGAATTAGTAATTAGAGCTGCAACAGTTATTCGATTAAGTCGATTAAAATCGACGATGGAAAACGTTGTCAACGTTTTCCATCGTCGATTCGTCAAATACAAAAGAACCAGTTCCAAAACCCTCAGTGGTAACATAATTTCCCCTTGTAGCAAAGGACTTGTGTAAAGTAATGACTATATCACCCCAAAATCAAAAGGATGCAGGTCATCTAGATATAAATAACCATCAGCAACCCCTACAAAGGGAAGATACTACAGAACATAAATTCCTAAGAACACTGCTCAGGAAGAAACTTCTGCAACTCATGTATGGTGATGATGTAAGGAGGATAATCTACTCTATCTAGTTTCTGATGACACATGCAAATGATCCCAGAAAGAACTGCAAGCCTGTCAGTAACCAGATTTCATCCTCATCAGTTTAGGGAAATCATGGCAAAATGATAACTGCTGACTATAGAGTTGCTGCAGATACCTCTTTTCTTCATTTAATATGTTGAGCACTATCAAAGATATGTTTTTAAACACGTTTGCCTTTTTTTGTTTTGTTATGTTAGCTATGCAAATGTTAAATGCTGCATCTAAACATGTACATTTAACGCCATCAAGTGGAGCACTAGGCTACTTTTCACATGCATACCAAATGGATTATAATTCCCATGCTGAAAAAGTTCAACAGCTTAGGGTGTATTTCCACTTTTGCAGCCAAATTGGAAAAACACCTATTTTATATTTGTTACATGTTCCCATTCACATATTATTAATGAAAACAATGTAAAAATTGCTGCTTGCCTTTTTAGGTGTTTATACTTGCGTAAAGATTTGACCTAGCTTCCCCCCTATGTAATGTTAAAGAAGAACAGCTCGTGTGTTTCAAGGTGTTAAAAAAAAAGTTATACTCACCCAATCATTCCAGCCAGTTTGTTCTTAGACCGGGTCCTTGAAGCCCCTCTCCTCCTCCTCTGCAGAGGTCTAAGGTCCCATGAGTCATTACACTGCATACAAGTGTATAAGACATGAGGACGGTGAGGAACATTCCATTTGTGCCGCAGAGAAAGAGACAGTCTTCAGTGACCAGAGAAGCTGGGAGTCGAGTCGGTAGTTCAGGGGAGGATAACTTTTTTTTTTTTGCACCTAGACAAAAACGAGCGGTTAACCCTTGCAGTGCAGGGGTAGTCCCACTGCAAGGGTTAATAAAACTTTTTTCCTGGAATTCTTCAAGTAGGGGGCGGTGCGAAGTGATGTTTACTCTTATTAACCCTGCCTGTACTGTAGTGGAAGATTTCATTATCACTTGTAAACTAGATTTAAAGACTGTCTGTCCTAACAAAGGGTTAAAGGCATAGGGGCACAGTGTGTTAATGAGAGGACGCTCCGTCTGACCCTCAGTTTTGTCCTCTAGTTTCACTCTCACAGTGTTTTGAGTAGCATGCAATCTGCACAAAGGCCTTCACCAAAGAAAGAGCTAAACGGTAAGAAATATATTTTTAGAAATTATAATTTAGATATGGTGTGTCAATAGGAACACATAACAAACATATGGAGGAAACACACTTTAAACTTAAGGCTACATTCACAATAGGTGTGATTAGATGCATTTCAATGCACTTCAAAAAGCTCCATATATATGCATCTCATCAATTCCAATGGATCTATTACACTTGTGTTTAGTTGCTTTTATCTGCGGTCAGATTAGCAGTGTTAAGAAAAAAAAGAAAGCCAGCTGAGTCCAGGAATCCATTTTAATTTCTAAACTCACACAGGGCTTGGCGAACAAATTGCCTGGGAGCTAAGTGGCGTAAGAAATTTGGATTTGAACTGTTTGGGATATATTGAGTGCTTGATTTTTTTAATACTTGTTGTCTCCCTTCCTTTTTAGACCCTTTTTTAGTATTTAAAAACTCTTTTTCCTTTTCTGTCAGTTTTTTTAAACTGTTCCCTTACAAAACACATATAACCACATATAGATGAAAGTGTAAACAGTTTGATGCCAGCAGACCTGTGTTTCTCTGCACCTGAGCAAGGCAAGTCTCCCCAAGGACACAGATGTTGGATGGAGAAGGGAAGGTTATGCTCTGGCCCAACTGCCGTCTGTCTATAATGACATTACTGCGATTTTGATTGCTGGAATGCACCTCGCAGCTATGGCCCAACTGCCGTCTGTCTATAATGACATTACTGCAAATCTGATTGCTGGTATGCACCTCCCAGCTCTAACCCAACTGCCATTACTGCGACTTTGAATACTGGCATACACCCCTCAGTTCTGGCCCAACTGTCGTCTGTCTATAATGACATTACTGCCACTTTGATTGCTGGTATAGACCTCCCAGCTATGGCCCAACTGCCGTCTCTCTATAATGACATTACTGCAAATCTGATTGCTGGTATTGCACCTCCCAGCTCTGGCCCAACTGCCATTACTGCGACTTCGAATGCTGGTATGCACCCCTCAGCTCTGGCCCAACTGCAGTCTGTCTATAATGACATTACTGCAATGTTGATTGCATGTTTACACCTCCCAGCTCTAACCCAACTGCCGTCTGTCTATAATGACATTACTGCGACTTTGAATGCTGGCATGCACCCCTCAGTTCTGGCCTAACTGTCGTCTGTCTATAATGACATTACTGCAAATCTGATTGCTGGTATACACCTCCCAGCTATGGCCCAACTGACGTCTATAATGACATTACTGCCACTTTGATTGCTGGTATGCACCTCCTAGCTATGGCCCAACTGCCGTCTGTCTATAATGACATTACCGCCACTTTGAATGCTGGTATACACCTCCCAGCTATGGCACAACTGCCGTCTGTCTATAATGACATTACTGCCACTTTGATTGCTGGTATACACCTCCAAGCTATGGCCCAACTGCCGTCTGTATATAATGACATTACTGCCACTTTGATTGCTGGTATGCACCTCCCAGCTATGGCCCAACTGCCATTACTGCGACTTTGAATGCTGGCATGCACCCCTCAGTTCTGGCCCAACTGTCATCTGTCTATAATGACATTACTGCCACTTTGATTGCTGGTATACACCTCCCAGCTATGGCCCAACTGCCGTCTGTCTATAATGACATTACTGCTGCTTTGATTGCTGGTATGCAGCTCCCAGCTATGGCCCAACTGCCGTCTGTCTATAATGACATTACCGCCACTTTTGAATGCTGGTATGCACCTCCCAGCTATGGCCCAACTGCCGTCTGTCTATAATGACATTACTGCCACTTTTGAATGCTGGTATACACCTCCCAGCTATGGCCCAACTGCCGTCTGTCTATAATGACATTACTGCCACTTTGATTGCTGGTATGCACATCCCAGCTCTAACCCAACTGCCATTACTCATAGTTACATAGTATTTGAGGTTGAAGACATTAGTCCATCAAGTCCACTTTAAGCCTTTGTTGTATCCCGGTTTCCGTCAGCCACTGGGGTATATTTTGAGTTAATGTAGAAAAAGGCTTGTGTTCCTACCTGGAGATCCGACTGGTTATAATTGCCCTGATTGAATTTGCATAATGGCTTACTTCATCCGATCCGTGACCAATATGAACTAGTACAGCAAAACAAAGGAGTTAACCCATTAGAAGATAACGGGTTAATAGCGGTCAACTTAGGGATCCGGACAAGTCAATTAATTGTAAAAAAGATAACTTTATTGAAAAAACATATACGTTAACACATTTAACTCACTGAATACCATTAAAAACATAGATAACATGCAGTCGCAAGGTTTAGTTTTCGATCTTTTGCTCCCTAAAAAGGTATACACTTTGAAGTAGCAGTATGTATTGTTTTTTTAAAACAATCCCACATCTGGTCTGTGTTTAGGTTGTGAAATAATTTTCCCCATTTTATTTCCATTTTATTTCCCTCATTTTATTACTGCGACTTTGAATGCTGGCATTCACCCCTCAGTTCTGGCCCAACTGTCGTCTGTCTTTAATGACATTACTGCCACTTTGATTGCTGGCATTGCACCTTCCAGCTCTTACCCAACTGCCATTACTGCGACTTTGAATGCTCGTATGCACCCCTCAGATCTGGCCCAACTGTCGTCTGTCTATAATGACATTACTGCAATGTTGATTGCATGTTTACACCTCCCAGCTCTGGCCCAACTGCCATTACTACGACTTTGATTGCTGGTATACACCTCCCAGCTCTAACCCAACTGCCGTCTGTCTATAATGACATTACTGCCACTTTGATTGCTGGTATGCACCTACCAGCTCTAACCCAATTGCCATTACTGCCACTTTGATTTCTGGTATGCACCTGCCAGCTCTAACCCAACTGCCATTACTGCGACTTTGAATGCTGGCATGCACCCCTCAGTTCTGGCCCAACTGCAGTCTGTCTATAATGACATTACTGCAAATCTGATTGCTGGTATTGCACCTCCCAGCTCTGGCCCAACTGCCATTACTGCGACTTCGAATGCTGGTGTACACCTCCCAGCTCTAACCCAACTGCCATTACTGCGACTTTGAATGCTGGTATGCACCCCTCAGATCTGGCCCAACTGTCGTCTGTCTATAATGACATTACTGCCACTTTGATTGCTGGTATACACCTCCCAGCTATGGCCCAACTGCCATCTGTCTGTAATGACATTACTGCCAATTTGATTGCTGGTATGCACCTCCCAGCTCTTACCCAACTGCCATTAATGCGACTTTGAATGCTGGTATGCACCCCTCAGTTCTGGCCCAACTGCAGTCTGTCTATAATGACATTATTGCAATGTTGATTGCATGTTTACACCTCCCAGCTCTGGCCCAACTGCCATTACTACGAATTTGATTGCTGGTGTACACCTCCCAGCTCTAACCCAACTGCAGTCTGTCTATAATGACATTACTGCCACTTTGATTGCTGGTATGCAACTCCCAGCTATGGCCCAACTGCCGTCTGTCTATAATGTCATTACTGCAAATAGGATTGCTGGTATTGCACCTCCCAGCCCTGGCCCAACTGCCATTACTGCGACTTCGAATGCTGGTATGCACCCCTCAGCTCTGGCCCAACTGCAGTCTGTCTATAATGTCATTACTGCAAATAGGATTGCTGGTATTGCACCTCCCAGCCCTGGCCCAACTGCCATTACTGCGACTTCGAATGCTGGTATGCACCCCTCAGCTCTGGCCCAACTGCAGTCTGTCTATAATGACATTACTGCAATGTTGATTGCATGTTTACACCTCCCAGCTCTGGCCCAACTGCCATTACTACGACTTTGATTGCTGGTATACACCTCCCAGCTCTAACCCAACTGTCGTCTGTCTATAATGACATTACTGCCACTTAGATTGCTGGAATGCACCTCCCAGCTATGGCCCAACTGCCATCTGTCTATAATGACATTATTGCAAATCTGATTGCTGGTATTGCACCTCCCAGCTCTAACCCAACTGCCATTACTGTGACTTTGAATGCTGTCATGCACCCCTCAGTTCTGGCCCAACTGTCATCTGTCTAGAATGACATTACTGCAAATCTGATTGCTGGTATGCACCTCCCAGCTCTAACCCAACTGCCATTACTGCAACTTTGAATGCTGGCATGCACCCCTCAGCTCTGGCCCAACTGTCGTCTGTCTATAATGACATTACTGCAAATCTGATTGCTGGTATTGCACCTCCCAGGTCTTACCTAACTGCCATTACTGCGACTTTGAATGCTGGTATACACCTCCCAGCTCTAACCCAACTGCCGTCTGTCTATAATGACATTACTGCCACTTTTGATTGCTGGTATGCACCTCCCAGCTCTAACCCAACTGCCATTACTGCGACTTTGAATGCTGGTATGCACCCCTCAGTTCTGGCCCAACTGTGGTGTGTCTATAATGAAATTACTGCCACTTTGATTGCTGGTATTGCACCTCCCAGCTCTAACCCAACTGCCATTACTGCGACTTTGAATGCTCCTATACAGCTCCAAGCTCTGGCCCAACTGTGGTGTGTCTATAATGACATTACTGCAATGTTGATTGCTGGCATGCACCTCCCAGCTCTGGCCCAACTGCCGTCTGTCTGTAATGACATTACTGCGACTTTGATTGCTGGTATGCACCCCTCAGCTCTGGCCCAACAGCAGTCTGTCTATAGTGACATTACTGCAATGTTGATTGCACGTTTACACCTCCCAGCTCTGGCCCAACAGCAGTCTGTCTATAGTGACAGTACTGCAATGTTGATTGCACGTTTACACCTCCCAGCTCTGGCCCAACTGCCATATGTCTATAAATGACACTACTGCATTTTGACTGCTGGTGATTAAATGTTTTACTTTACATAGCTTCATGCTGCCCAGAGGTATCATGCTTGTTTGGGGTCCTCTCGGCAGGCAGACAGAGGTCCTCACTGCACAGGGAACAGCCTCCCGCAAGGCCATCAGAGGCACCAGACACAGCTGCCAGAGTGACCCGGGCAGGACACCCCTGCACCGTGCCAACTACGTGAGAAAAGGAAGCAGGGAACAGACTCCTGCACAGCGCCTTACTCATGTGAGTTGCCATTTGTAAAGCTGCTACATACCGGCTATGGCATGTGGGGAGGGAGGCTGTGAAAGGGCTGGCTGCGGCATCATAAGGGACGTGACCTGTGCTCGATGTATGTTATTTATCACCAACTTGTGGTGAAAGCTGCAGGTGGGGTCACTATGGGATTTCTGGTGCTCTATTCACACCAGTGCAGGCCGTTCCGATGCAGTCATAAAAAATACTCCTTGCCCTATTTTAGCTGCATCAGATCGCAACAGAACGCATAAAAATGCATGTTAACGCACTGGAATGCACCTGAAACCCCATTTTAAGCACACATAAAAAACACATCAATTGAGATCGTGGTAAAATTGCAGCAAATTGCATTGCAGCTGCGCAGACGCACGCAGTTCTGGTGTGAACTAGCCCTCGAGAAACAGTACTTCCCCTCCTGCATTTCACTGTGACCAGAAGCATTACACATTTTACCTGCAGCACCAGCTGCGCAGCCAGGAGCAACCAAACAATAAAAAAGGTCTCGTCTCTATAACTCTGCATTTCACTGGCATTGCTTCATTCCTTGTCTTAGAAATCCAGATGAAATTACAATTTATTTTACATCTTTACAATGAATAATGAAGTAAGAAAGAAAAAAAGGAAAAAAAAAGGCTTACCGCGAGATCTACAAGATGCAGTTTTCCCATTCTTACATGTATATTGCCATCAGCTCCCTTCTCACTGCACTCTATAGTGATGGTGAAGATGGCATGGGAACGTGAACTGTGCTCATTCATGTTTGTGGCTCCAACAGACCCTGAAAATAAAAGCACAATATACAAATCTCAAATATAATTCATAAAAAATATATGTGATAACCATCTCTTCTCTACTGAAAAAAAGCTTGTTTTTTGAACCACTAATTAAATGGGTAAGGGCTTCTTCACACTGCGGTAATGCATTGTACATGTGTGGTGTCATGTGATGTGTTCCCACTCATTCTTAATTTACCCCAGTGCACATATAGTAAATTGCGGTGTGCTTCATTTTCAAAAATTTGGCAGGACCCAATTTCCCCCCATACACTGAGGTGCATTTACAGACAATTCAAAATGAATGGGCCAACTACAAAAATGTAGTTCAATTACAAAACAAATGCAAGTGCACTGAGTTGTAGTGTGAATGGGCCCCAACTGTACAATAAATTCCCGACATGTCACAATATAAAGAAAGAGTATAAAGTCTAAAAAAAAAAAAAAGTTGCCCCCTCAAAAAAAAAAAAAAACACAAGCCTTTAACTTTGCCTAGGCAAAAATAATGTGATCACTTGGAGAGAGGAGACTGAGAAATGCTTCCTTCTGCAGCAGAGTGATCAGACTACAGCACTGTAAAGGTGCCCATACACCTGACTATTATCTACGATAATCGCGGGTGGCCCCTCGATCGTACCATAATCGGCAGGTGTATGGGCTGCGTGCGACCGCATTTACTGTATGGTCGCACGACTTTCGTCTTACAAGCATGCTAGAAAACCCGCCGGAAACCGTACGATTTTCGCCAGGTTGGTAGCGCGATCGCAAGACAAAAGACGCACGGGGCGGTGTACGCAAGCGCACACTGCCCGCAAGCGCACACTGCCTGCTCAGCATTGCAATCGTTGGCAAGCCCTCCCCTAAGCGCGGAGGGCTTGCGATGATCGCAAGTACGATCTGCCTGTCCAAGATGTGCAGTTCGTACGGAATTTTAATCACCTTACAACCATCGCACAACTAAAGTTGTGCGATGGTTGTAAGGTGTATGGCCAGCTTAATTGTGTAGCAAGGCACAAGGCGAAAAGGCAGCAGCAGGGTCTGATCTGGATCATCTACTGGCTATCTTTAAAAAAAAAAAGTAGTTCCAAGGCTGCTGGATCAATCAGACCTGCCAGGCCTCAAAAAAAAAAAACAAATTACTGAAAGCAGAGGCTGCATCACAATGCAAAATCTCCCAATCCTCGCTAGTGTACTAAAGAAGGGATTGCCACTTAAATGCTGATATGAATATTGATACTGTAAGTAATTAAAAACACCCTCAAAATGCCAGACAGTGCCGATTAGCAGATACCAATCTGCGCTTGGAACAAGGGTGACATAGCAGCTGCTATGGAAACCCAATAAAATCAATGCTCTGAACACCCAGGATGTCTACAACTGACTAATGAGAGAACACCACTACCTGGACATAGCCCAATAACTGCAGGCATCTTCCCCTTTCAAGCTGAAAGAAGAAAAGGCTGAAGTAAACTAGTCCTGGAAAGACTTACGATTTTTATGTCCCAAAGTCATGATCCGGTCCATGTCATCTGCATTGTTTACTACATAACCCGATAAGTCTTTGATGTAAACTCCCACATCTGGTCTCTCTTTAACCTACAATATTAAAATGAATTTTAATTGGAATCATGGGTTCCGACAGACACTTAGTTCAAATGCTGTAAACATAATCTTCTCTAGCAGCCATTCCCGATTTCGACGTTTAATGGGACTATTACACTACTTAAATGATATCAGCTGACTTTCTGCCTTTGTTATAAATGATGTCATATTGTGGCAGTAATCTTATTTTCACAAGCACAAAGTTTACTTTATAGATAACATGACTCAGTTTGTTAATCATATCAGTGAACTGTACCTTTAAATGTATTTGCTGGCTAAACTAAAGAATGCTAATGGCCCTTTTAAAGGTCTGATGGAAAGTCACTGTCCTATGTATCAGGCAACATACACCGATCAGGCATAACATTATGACCACTGAGGTAAAGTGAATAACACTGATTTGTCTCCTTACAATGGCACCTGGAAGTAGGTGAGATATATTTAGGTAGCGAGTGAAAATTGTGTTCCTGAAGTTGACGTATTGGAAGGAGACAAAAAAAGATGGGAAAGCGTAAGGATTTTTAGCGACTTTGACAAGGGTCAAATTATGATGAATAGATGACTGGGTCAGAGCAACTCCTAGACTGCAGCTCGTGGGATGTTCCTGGTCTGCATTGGTCAGGACCTACCAAAAGTGATCCAAGGAAGAAAAACCGGTGAACTGGTGACAGGGTCATGGGTGGCATGTGTAGTCCCATCCAACAGAACAGCTACTGTAGCTCAAGTTGCTGAAAAAGTTCATGCTGGTTCTGATAGAAAGGTGTGATGCTTTGGGCAATGTTCTGCTGGTATACCTTGGCTCCTGCCATTCATGTGGATGTTACTTTGACACGTACCACCTACCTAAAACACAGTTGCTGACCAAGTACACCCCTTCACTGTATTCCCTGATGATACTGGCATCTTTCAGCTGGATAAATGCGCCTGACACGCTGCAAATGGTTCAAGAACGGTTTGAGGAACACAGCAACAATTTGGAGGTGTTGACTTGGCCTCCAAATGTTCCAGATCTCAATTCAAATCGAGGATCTGTGGGATGTGCTGGAAAAACAAGTCGGATCCATGGAGGCCCTACCCCGCAACTTACAGGACCTGCTACTGACGGCTTGGTGCCAGATACCACAACATACCTTCAGAGGTCTAGTGGAGTCCATCCCTTGACAATTAGGACCGTTTTGGTAGAAAAAGAGGATCGGGTGCACTAAATATTAGGTGGGTGCTCATAATGTTATGGCTGATCAGTGTAATCACTGCCTTATACCACTATAACATTTCTTTTACTTCAATAACATGAGTGAAGCTGAATTAAAATATTAGTGCAATAGTGCCATCTAGTGTCCCATTTGAGACTGCCACTGAACCCTATAGGAGAAGCATGGAGTACAATAGGGATTTAAAATATGTGCGAGCCATTAAAAGGAGAACTATGAGGCGAGTGCTTTTCACTCATCCTCCTAGTTCTAGCCGACCTGTGACAATGAAACTGTCACAGGTCAGCTCAGTAAAATCGGGAAGTGAGCGAACACATACCGGCATTCGCTCACTTCTCGATCCTGTCACTGCAGAGAGCCGTGACAGGGGAGTGACTGGATTCCCCCCTCCCCTGTCCGATTCTACCCAGCGGACTGGTGGAACAGATGGGGAAGGGGGCGGGTACAGCTGGCTCTGCCTCTAGATAGGCAGAGCCAGCTGTCACGCAGCTGGGTGGAACCAGACATAATTGTCGGGAACCGCTTCAGTTGCGGCGTCTCAGTATACCGCGAGCTGCAGCTCACGGTATACTGAGCTTTGGGTGACGGGAGGATGCTAGTTTGTATCCTCCCGTTACCCTAAGGAGAACTATGGGGAAAAGCCCTAACCCCATAGTTCTCCTTTAAGAAATATAGAAGGGTACAGGAAACAAATAGTTTTACAGTGGTAGGTTGCATGTATGCATCTGAAAGATGAAAGGTTTGATTTGCTTATGGAAATATATATTTATTATACAAACTGCACTAAAATAGGATTTTTGTACAAATCAATTTCTTGGAATCCATTGATGGACACAGGAATTCAGAAACAGCTGGCTTAGGACAGGGGGGTTTAGGACAGTGGCAAACAAAAAATGTAAGCCAGTCCAGTCCCTGTGTAACCCCTTCTCTACATTGCATGCCTCAGGTTTTGTGAAAAAGCAGTACCAGGGTAAAGCAAAAAAACAGAGGGTGGGACTTGTATCCCTTAATGGGGAATGGGGGGCTGGGTAGAAGCCACTGACAGGTCCAAGAAGGAACTAAGAACCACCTGCAACTCAGGACTCTCTGAAGGTCCAACTTCCGAATCTAAACAAGATGAGGTGTAATTCCCTGCAAGAAAGGGGAATCTGTGAACGACCAAGGGAAGGCCACAGAGGATCAACCTGATGCTTAGACCAGGACAGAAAAGAGATCACCGCAAAAGGGGAATTACTTCAGTCAGGAGAACACTACGTTTGCACTAGTGAGAGGCTCTGAAACCAAAAACCCACCAAAACAATGGGAATAACACACTTACATGATAAGAAATAAATAGGCAAGCAATGTGATGTGATCAAGAGAAATAACACTGGTACAAGTCACCCGAAAAACAGATTCGAAGGGGAAACCTTGGACAAAAAAAAAAACACAAGAAAAGACCAGCTGCTCTACATGTGAAGGACCAGTCCTTACAATAGCAACCCTTAGTATTCAGGGAGGAAAGGTTACATGATAAGAACGGGATTCCCGGGCCAGACATCCAATCTCACAAAACGAGATATCCAAAGAATGTACGAATTTTTACAGCATAATATCCCATAAGGATAGCTAAATGACCCATTAGACTAGTAGAAATCCAACAGGTACCTACCATGAAGTCTACCTGACTAAAGAAAAGGGGGTAGGCTACACAAGAACTACCCCTATGAGACTAGGCAGCAAGAGGAGTCAAACCCCCATTCACTTTAACACCTGAAGGGGTCTCTGGGGCCTAACAGAGCAACTCTTCAAGACCAGCCTAACCATGATACAGAACATGGTTCTAAGAATCTTCTGACCCCCCAGTCCAGCAAAGCTACCACAGCTGTGGATCAAAGAGTAGAAACCTTCGCCACAATGTTAGCACTGTGAAGAACATTCACCTGATTAAGTGTGTGTTGAGATCATTACTACTGTTCTAAGCACTAGAAGGAACTCACATTTGAGATGTCATCAGTGGGAGGACATCCAGTGGAAGAGTGCAGACCGGCTGTGCCCGGTGGTGTGGTAGATTGGATGCCTGTAAGGACGTAGGCTGCGGTGGAAGGACAGCTGTCTCCTGCAAAGGCTCAGCCGACCTGTGTGTCCGAAGTGCTGTCGGACACACAGTGCCCGACAGCACTGGCAGAACTTGCTTTGGTGTGCTGGTGACCATTTCTTGAATTTCTAATTGATTTGCGGTGGCACCCGCAGTCATTACAGCACCCACCAAATGTTTTGAGTTGTATCCAGTCAGGAGTGCGATGGGATTCTATGAAGTTTCCCTCCACGAATCAGACACAACTGTTACGGGGGAAACAGACCTATGCCCCATAGATCAGGGCACCTGACCAAGTAGCGTCCCCCTGAGGCGGGGGGAGTGCATGCCAAGAAACTCTTGGTTCAAAGATCCTCTAATTGTTTCAAAGCTCCAAGGTATAGAGGGGGAGGCTGAAAAGGACCGAGAATCAACAAGAGAAGGGAGGCTATGTTAGGAGGGTATTCTCCGAAAACCCCTGAAGCAACCAAAGTTTGCAGGTGTTCAACCTGCAAACTTTCAAGTAATCCGAGAGTTCCACAATTGGGATGGCAGGAAAAAACACTGGGGTGGATATAAGATCCAGAGCTTCAGGAAACACCAGGTGCCTCTTGCTGTCAAAGGGAGCAGTAAGAACTGGTCACGGACAACCTTGTATGTCAAGGGGTATCTCTAAAAAGGGGGGATTCTGACGGGTACCAAGTACCACAAGGGGTTCAACAGAATCTGAAGATATAGAATTATCCTGAAGAAAGTCCATGTGGGGTACAACTCACAAAGTTCCCACTTAATCAGAAACAAGGGGTCCCAGGGTGCGGGGAACCCAGGGAGACCTGAGAAGATACACTGCTGTATGCAGTAGCTCCAGAAATACAGTGAGGGGCAGGTAGAAGAGATGCCAGACATAAGGAGTTAGCCAAATGTCAGGAAGGCAAACCACAAAGGGCCCGTCCGGATGTAAAAGTGGGGACAAAACTACATGCAAAAAGTTGTATCACAGGGGTTAACTGACCTCTGGGCTTCGAGCCGTATGGGCTGAATGGGACTCAAGATCTGAAGTCATAAGAGTATGAGTACCTGATACTGAAGTTGATGAAGGAGAAGGGTGAGGTTCTTTAAACCCCTCCACAGACCTCCTCCGCTTAGGCATAAGCATACTCTGGCCAGCTGTGGTGCTGCTAATGATGGTGTCAAAAGCAGGTCTGAGGAGAAACGTGTGTCGAAGGTTAATTGAGGCAGACACTCCTTGTAGGTATTCTTAGCTTCCAAACCAGCCAAAGTGCCCTACGCATTATTATTACTATTCTGACACGGTTTGACAGAATAAAGTTACTTCCACGCAAGGGACAGAGGGCCAGACCAGTCAAGTCATTTTGGGATGTAAGGAGGGATTATAGCTGCCTGTCACTGGAATCCCAAAAAGTTGAGCAAACCTTCAACCCAAATGGTTCTCCTGTTAACTCTGTTCACTGGTGTATCTACATTGAGAACAGACCATTCATTTACAAATTCCCTTTTAAAAAGCAACAGTTCGAACACACTCTCAGCTGGGGCTCAGAAGCCAATTTAAACAGCTCAGCAACATTAAAAGGGATTCTGCAAGAGCGATGTTGGGTATGCACTAACATTTTTTTCCCTTCAGCCCGGAAGCTGTTGGGACCAGCGCGCTTTAGCCAGCATAATGTAAAGCTGCCTAGGGGCTACTTTATGTCATGCCATATTTGCCTGTCCAGCAAGCAATAAAAGATCCCCTTCATTTGTTAAACCAAGTATAAATATTGACAGTTTATCAATCCAGACTTTCTTAATCTCACCTCTAGTCTCTGTGTCTGGTCTTTACTAAGTAAATCCCGTACTTCTTCATTATAAATCTCCAAATAAGACACTCTGACCAAAAACCTGCAACATGGAATGCAACAGAAACAAATTTATTACATATGTCTAATGGACAAATTCTACAAGCAAGCAAATAACATGATTAATAACATATTTAAATTATGAACATACTGTATAAACTGAAACAGGCCAGGAATGAACAACTTGATGTTTGCGTTACAAAGAAGCAAGGAATGGAAAGCGTTAATGGAATTACTTTGATAATGTATAATCTTTGGGTCATAAAATGAAAAGCATACCTTGTATCTCCCTCTGCTTTAGCAATATGACCAAATACATGAGCAAATGAATTAGGGATGATTCCTCTGAGCTCCGGAACAGCCCGAACACCTTCCATGGTAAACGTTTTCCCAGTGCCGGTCTGTCCATATGCAAATATAGTACCTAAAGGGGAAAAAAAAATGTTTCATTTGTCGCTGCATGATGTCACCGAGCTAAGGGCCCCACAGCATTAAACATGTGAAGCTACCTAACCTTTGGAAAGATATGTCCAGAAATAAAGTCTTAGCTTCCTAAAATTACCTTTTTTATTTAATGGTAGCTAGCTATTACTAGTAAACAAACATTTTCTGCACACAGTATTTTTTTAATTACTATTAAATTGTCTACTGCATGGACCAGGATCCTCTGACCTGGACCACCCTCTGGAATAGAGGCCTCAGCTTTGTTTACTACAGACTTTGTGCATTCCCTCCATCATCTCACCTCCACTGATTCTATGCACTACTGGCCACTGAGGTGTCCCACTAGATAGAACGATGGCAGAGAGCATGACCAATTCCTAAATCTAGGGCCAAGTTGAAATCTCCATTTTACAGAATCTGGTCCAGGCTGGAGTATTCTGAGCATTATATACTGCAAAGGAAAGTGAATAATAAGGGAAGTGCAGGCACAGTAGAATACCTGCTGTTAGAAGATAGAATTTCTCTAAGCCCCTTGTTCACAGGATATGAAGGGCACTCTAATAAGACAGGGTGTGGGCAAATGGGTAGGGTTTAACTCAGAAGATCAGCAGACACTCTGTGGCCCTTTCACTTACAAACATTAATAATATCCAACAGGTTCACTTTAGGCATGAAGATGATATTTTGAACAGTTTAACTTCTCTGGGAATTGGATACAGATACTGTATTTCTTTTCAAGGTTATTTTTGAATGATTGATTTAGCCTTTAAATTGAAAGTATAGCACATTTCAGTAAAACATATTTTGAACTATTATCGCAGTGTTTACCCGAAAGGGTAACTGTACTTTAAAAAGGAAGTTAAAAGCCACCCCCCACCCCCACCTTAGAACGAAAGAAATAACAGCCATACAAATTTTGAAATGGATTGCAATCCCTGGTCTGTGCAGTGTTTTCATCAGAAAACACAGACTACCTCTGCTCTAGAGGTCATTTGTGATGCCTCTCCCACAGAAATGGATGGACTGTCTACTGGCTCATATTCATTTTTATGAGCCAAGCGTCATACATGCGCATTATAGCTTAGGCCCCAGGCTAATTGAACAAAGCACTGCCAGGCACAGTATAGGCTTCAGAGAACTTCTTGAACTCTGAATGGCTTTGATTTTTTTAAATGAACCAGGTAAAGGGAGTCTTTCTTTAAACTAAAACGAGAAAAAAAAATATGGAGAATATCTATTGCTAACCTCTCCTTTTAAAAAGACCAGTTGACTAGCTATGAGTCAGATGCATTAGTTTTAGCACTTAATGAGTCACTGACCCAGAACAAGATATACACTATATTACCAAAAGTATTGGGACACCTCTCCAAATCATTGGATTCAGGTGTTCCGTGAAATTTCCTTGCCATTAAATATTCCACGGTGAACTGTTAGTGGTATAATAAAGTGGAAGCAACTGGGAACAACAGCAACTCAGCCACGAAGTGTTAGGCAATCAGCCACGAAGTGTCAATGCTATTAGTGACACTCAATGTCACTAATAGCTCTCTCTCTAGTGGCTAATCTACAAATCTTTCTACCTGATCATTTGACTGCCAAGTGCAGTATGTTTTATTAATATTAGCTTACTATCAAAGCTTTAACAGCTAACCTCTTTTTTATGGTTGAAATCATAGAGCTAGAAATCCAACTGAACATATCCACAAGCTGTCAAAGAATTCCCACCCCACGGCACTGGGTCTTACCTGGGCTATTTCTAGTTAGCTGCACCACTATTCACAAGAATTCTCTGCACTGATCAAATCCTTAAGCTGTTAGCCCTGGGCTTTTCCTGTTTATACAGTGTGTGTATATATATATATATTTTCACAGTTTTCAAAGCATGCATAATTTTGAGTCTATATATGTTAAATAGTACAACAGCAAAAAGTTTCCCAGCACACTCAACAGCCAGCATACAAAAAAATAACCTGTCTAACTGCTAGGTTAAAAACAGAGGTTTAGATACACATCTTCTGCAGAATATGTGAAAGCCGCACTGCCTCGTCAAGGCACTTCTGTGTAGTGTGGTCCTATCTCTAACCTATGAGAGTCTCCATCTCGGAGCACATGTAGCAAAAGATAAAACGGGTGCAGGTTTGCCAGGAGGCAGCCCAACCTCCTTAAAAGGCACACACAAGGGACCCCGCACATCAAAGCGGCAGCTGAGACCCCCAGTGTGTCACTGCACCAAATATATGTTTTGCTTTATATGTTAAATGGCACCCCAACACGCAGTGTTGCAATATGTGCTGCACTGGAGAAGATGGTGCATGCACGATTTTTGGTCCCTTGTGGTGCATTAGGCAGCAGACATAATACACCTAATGTGCATACATTAAATGCACCTCAACAGACCTGAATGGTGTGAATGAGCTCTAATGGACACAGCCTCCACAGTGTAACTTGTGTAAACACAGCCCAGCCTGAATACCTGAATATTGACTGCAGTGCAGTCATAGTTCAGCCGATAATTTTCCGCCCAGCTCCTGCTACAGAATTTGATTAAAACATTGACTTTTGTTGAGCTGAGTGGTGCCAGCAGGGCTCCAAACACACAACTTGAATTGTTGCAAAGTCATCTCAGGACTGAGCTGGATTTCGAGCAGTGTATGGTCAACTTTGACTACAGTAGATAAAAACTCTAGTGTGCTGTCACTCATGACATTCTTGTAACCCTTTAGGACTCCTGTATTGAGCTCACTCTTCTATCATTTCTGGCTTTGCTGTCATCCTCCTTAAGCCCCGTTCACATTGAGCGATTTATCGCGCGGTAATTCACGCGATATTGCGGCAAATTACCGCGCGATATCGCGCTCCAATGCATTTCAATGGAGCAAAGGGTCCTGCTGTCGCGGGTGGTGTGTCGCTACAGCAGCACCCTTTTTGGAGCGGATTTAGCCGCGATTCAACCTTGCTCAATGCAAGCTTGAACGCGATATCGCGCGGCAAATCTCGCGATATCGCTCAATATGCAGAACGCGCGATTTGCATATCGCGCAGTGGGAACGGGGCCTTAGCGTCAAGATGCTCCCACACTTGTCCTGAGTTGTATTCTAAAATTCAACACAAGCAGAGAAACCTTGCTATCAGAGTCAACGAGAGATAGAAGAGACCATTAGCATCTACATAAAGCTACACTATCAGATGGGTGGATGTCCCTTTCATAATAAACAGCAGGCCATTGACATGCAGAGCACAAGGAATAAACAAAGCCAGACAAACAATATTCTATTCAGTAACATACTTCATTTTCACATGCCAAGATCACAGTTGTAAAAAGGATAATTGTCCTACTCGCTCCCTCCCTTGGAATGGCCCTGACCAGCTCAAGGGAGTGTGTGTCCCAGTGACAATATGATTCGGTCATCTCACACATGGCACACAGAATGTTAATTGAGAAGTTAATTATCAGATGGATACAATGGCCGCACTGACCGACAGTCACTCTCCGTTATGTTGAATACTGATGAATATGAAAGCTCATATACTCAGTTTACAAGCAACTACACATTATAAATTCAGTCAATACAAAATCAATACATTTGGTACAAAATGAATTATAATTAGTCATCCATTGCTGGAGTGGACAAACAATATCAATACAGCGGGTCAGAGATGGAAAGATCTATAAATTCCTGCGCAACACAATGGGGTTCATATATTCTTTTACTCATCAGCGCCAACGTTTGTCAACAAACCCCAACGTAAAAAAACATCAAATAATGTAGTGAAAGGACACCTACTCTCCTACATAATCAGCATTTCAGGATCAGGAAAGGAAGTCTACCACTTCATCAGCAATATAAATGGATGGATATGTCACTCACCCAATCTGTATCCCTTTACCTTGAAGGTAACCAGTCATGATTAGGCTAATGCCGTCATCACAATAGGAACTTTTAAAATATTTATATTTACCTGCCTACTTGTGCTTAGGATGGGTTAACCCTCGTTCACACCTGAACGTTTTGTAGCGTGTTCTACGCTCGACGAACGCTCTACAAAATGCTCAAAAATATCAATCCCATTGTATTCAATGGTCTCGTTCCCACCTTGGCGTATTTCCGCCCGTCCCTAACGCGCTACAAAACGGCCCACGCCTGAAAAGGTACATGTACTACTTTGGGCCGTTTTGTTGCGCGTTTCCATTGGGATACAGCCAAGTAGCCTTCGGAAACGCGCGTCTGTCGCGCTACTTTTTTACCGCGAATCGCGGTAAAAAAAAACGCACGACAGCCGCGCATATGCAATACGCCTAGGTGTGAACGAGACCTTAGGGAAGCCCTAAGGTACGACAGCTGTTCTGACAATTGCCTGAACTCATCTGATCACACACACTCCTCCTACTCCTAAGTAATCATTACTATCACCACTATCATAAGGCCATGCAGTTGCTCTAAACTACAGGGCTTTGATACAGTTGGCACACTGTGGCAGGAGGCTTAATTCCATAAAGCAGAACGCCAGGTAACAATAACAAGAGAAAAATGAATAGCCCATTAAAAGATAAAACAAAAACAGCCCAGTGCACAACATAGTATAAGTATTATTGTGTTTATTTGGCCTTAGGCCCCTTTCACACGGGCTGATGAACGGATCCTCTCCTGATCAGAGCAGTACGGAGCAGATAGCAATCGCTATGACATCCATGTCTGTACAGTTTTTTTTCCTCAATCTTGCGATGGAGGAAAAAAAATGTAATTACCAGACTCCACGTTGGCCTGTGGGGAATCGGATATAAACGAACATTTGTCCCTTTACATCAGATTACCCCCGATCCAGCATTATCAGGTCCGGCGAAACGGATCTCTGATCCATTTGTTTTTCTGGACCTGGCCGGAGGCGGGGGTAACCGGGTGTAAACGAACGCTCATCCACAGACGACGAACGCTCTACAAAATGCTCAAAAATATCAATCCCATTGTATTCAATGGTCTCGTTCCCACCTTGGCGTATTTCCGCCCGTCCCTAACGCGCTACAAAACGGCCCACGCCTGAAAAGGTACATGTACTACTTTGGGCCGTTTTGTTGCGCGTTTCCATTGGGATACAGCCAAGTAGCCTTCGGAAACGCGCGTCTGTCGCGCTACTTTTTTACCGCGAATCGCGGTAAAAAAAAACGCACGACAGCCGCGCATATGCAATACGCCTAGGTGTGAACGAGACCTTAGGGAAGCCCTAAGGTACGACAGCTGTTCTGACAATTGCCTGAACTCATCTGATCACACACACTCCTCCTACTCCTAAGTAATCATTACTATCACCACTATCATAAGGCCATGCAGTTGCTCTAAACTACAGGGCTTTGATACAGTTGGCACACTGTGGCAGGAGGCTTAATTCCATAAAGCAGAACGCCAGGTAACAATAACAAGAGAAAAATGAATAGCCCATTAAAAGATAAAACAAAAACAGCCCAGTGCACAACATAGTATAAGTATTATTGTGTTTATTTGGCCTTAGGCCCCTTTCACACGGGCTGATGAACGGATCCTCTCCTGATCAGAGCAGTACGGAGCAGATAGCAATCGCTATGACATCCATGTCTGTACAGTTTTTTTTCCTCAATCTTGCGATGGAGGAAAAAAAATGTAATTACCAGACTCCACGTTGGCCTGTGGGGAATCGGATATAAACGAACATTTGTCCCTTTACATCAGATTACCCCCGATCCAGCATTATCAGGTCCGGCGAAACGGATCTCTGATCCATTTGTTTTTCTGGACCTGGCCGGAGGCGGGGGTAACCGGGTGTAAACGAACGCTCATCCACAGACTTACATTGGGCATCCTATCAAGTCCCCCTGAAAAACTGACAGGAGGAGCTGATCAGAACGCCCGTGTGAAAGGCGCTTTACACATGTAAATAGAATCCTGGAGACTACAGCCGCTGGGAGCCTGCTTACAGGGGCCCACTGCTGCTGATGTATGGCATATGTCAGCAGCAGCAAAAGGGTGAAATTACCCATTACATGGTAGTTACAGACCATTATGGCTTTCTAACATGGGAGCAGAATAAAAGCGGTTTGCCCTCACGGAAATGAAATTCAAAAGGCCACGCAGGTAAGTGGAGAGGGGGGGGGAAATCAGAGTGATTTATTCAGTTCTATTCCGTTCTCACGCTTGAGCTACTACTAAAGTGGCCGTGTCACCAATTTAAACATTTTCAGTAAAATTACAGTAAAAGTATATTACATTTTTTACTAGCAGCATTTTTTTCCTTTCCGTAAGTGATTTCCATTCACTTGCAATGTGCCTTTGAACTTTCTAGCAAATTTCACTTCTTCAGGAAGTCCCCTTCCTCCTTGCACGTCATAGCTCTCTCCTCTTCTGGGAATGTCTAATTACTGACTGTGCTGGCTGAGCTACTCCGCTCCTCCCCTCACCTCCCTATGTAATCTTTTATGTAGCTGTCGGAGGTAAAGAGAAGGGAAGGCAGCGTCCAGCAACAGTTTCCGGGCTTTTGGATGTCTGCATAAGGAAGGCATTTACAGGTAAATAACATGCATAAAATATATGGTGACTGTACATGTAATCTTATAAGAAAATTGTTGCGGAATCGTCTGGTAACAGGGCCTCTTTAGGTCTTGTTAACAAGATAGTGAAGCCAAATACACTGGAAAGTGTGAAAAGGAACCAAGAGCTCCCCCTGCTGGCCAGATGTGTAAATATGAAATGCAATTACTATGCAATACTTCATTATCTTACAAAAATAAGGAAAATATACATTTTTAAAATTCATTTTTAAAAATAAAATATATAAGAAACAATACCTTCTATTTAAGCAGCAATTTTACATTTAAAATAATGTATATCTCATTTTTTAGGTCTTACCATTGTAGCCTTCCAGCACAGAGTCAATAATCGGCCTGGCTGTTAAATTGTAAACGTCCAGCTGGTTACTGTCTATTCCAAAAACTGTGTCAAACGTAAAAGTCTTTGGCGGCTCGTTCATAGAGTCTACTTTGTGAACGGCTATAGTTCCCCTTATTTCATCCACACTTACAGCCATCTTGTTGCCCATGACTTTCTCTCGCTCATTCAATGGGCGACATCGCACTACAACCTTCACATTGTCGCAGGATTCAGGTTTCTCGGCTTTGTTGATCTGTAAATACAGACAGAAAAAAAATACAAAATGATTACCACAAAACATAGCTGAAAAACATAAGAAATGAAGCACAGCAGAGTACGACTAATAGTTTATGCAACGGAGCAATGTTTCAGACATGCATTCATACAAGGTCCACTACCTTATTTTTCCCTCCCTAACCCATACCAAAACTGCAATAAATGAAAAAAAAATAACTTATCTTTCCCAATGCTTCTACCAACAGTGTCTGGGAGAAGGTGACTGTGGAAGACATAGATCACAAGCACTCAGTCCAAAGCATGGAATGACTATGGTCACTGTCGCCCTGAGGACCCTTCCCTGCATGGCCCCGAAACGTTGGCTATATGGCGCATGTGACATCTTACTTCAATATATAAGCAAATGAATGCCATGCTTCTTTTGTCTGAGTGCTGGTGATCTTCGTCTTCCATATTCTTGGGAAACACGGCACCATCCGTGTTATCACTTCAAGCACCATGACTGTTAAACAAGGTCTAACCGCTGTATGGAGTGCAGGTGACACATCACAATACTACGGTATATGGGAGAAGGTGACGTCATAGCACATCCATCAAGATCAATGGGAATGCTTAGTAGCCAGAAATCATGAGAAGACGATCCTGCACTGTGCTATAGCATCATCTCATCAGATATGGGCTACTCAGCATCCCCTGGGATCTCCCCGGAAGGACCATGACATCATCCTCTGCCGTGCAGAAGCTGGGGGAAGTCAAGGGTGCTTATTTCCTTTTTTTGTTTTTAATTGCAGTTTTTAGAGCAAGGGGGTTGCCAAAGTAAGTAGGTGAACCTTGCTTATAGTGCACCTTGTCGCCTTCTTTAAAACAGTCAGAGGCTAGTAAGCCTGTAAAAAAATAAAGCTGGCCATACATTGCTTGAATTTCGTCTAAATCCTGCAAAACTCCAGCTGTGGGTGGCCCTGGCCAACACCACCCTGCTCCACAAAAGTTGATTTTGTTGAAGGAGCCAGGTGAAAAATTGTTGGCCAACTGTTGGGTATTGTGACAGTGGTGGCTGTCAGAAAACAATAGCCAGGCAAAAGAGAGGAAGATTTGTAGGTTAGATTTCTTTCATTCCGCCTGCAGGCTGAACAAATGAAATCATTGCATGTATAGCCAGCCTATGCTTTATGTTTACCTGTCCAGTAAGTGACAGGTAAAAGGTACAAGTTGTCCTAGATCAGTGGTGGCGAACCTTGGCACTCCAGCTGTGCCAAAACTACAAATCCCAAGATGCATCTGCCTCTGGGAGTTATGTCTGTGGCTGTCAGTGCCTTGCAATGCCTCATGGGACTTGTAGTTCCAAAACAGCTGGAGTGCGAAGGTTCGCCATCACTGTCCTAGATTGTTCACTTCTCCTGCCTTCTCCAAACCCTTCACCCGCTTGTGAATAGCTCTATTGGGATCAGCCTCTTGCAACCCCATGTACAGCATCACCCAGACTGGGAGAAGGAAGAAGGAGCCAAATCAGGAGTCCTACTGCATAACCCCAAAAATTATATAAATGTTTTGCTATACATGTACTTTGCTTCTTATCTATTCCATGTAGCTGTGGCGAAGAGTCTGAGCCCTCTGAAAAAGTTAACATGCCAGGACAAAATAATAATAATTAAAAAAAACACATTCAGTACATCTCTCTTAAGGTGGCCATACACTTTACGACCCTTGCAAGACGTTTGCAAGGGTCGGCAGCTGTCGGACAAGCAGGCCACTAACCGTACGATTCTCGGCGGGTTTTCCAGCCTGCTTGTTCGACGGAATCCTTCCATACACTTTGCGATTATCGTACAATTGCGGGATTTCCCACGATAATCGTACAGTGTATGGGCACCTTTATACAAACACATTTTGCCATGTTAACCTTTTGAGTCCCAGGTGCCATTTTAAAATTGCAAACAGACTTAGCGACTCCTGTTGGTCACTATCAGTCAGTGACAGCAAACATCCAGCAATAAGCTCAGGAGATGAAACGATCAGCTCCTGGGCTTTGGATCTCTCTACACAGCGATCCATAGGAGCACTTGTAGAGAGCAAGTGCCCATAACAACCAATCAGCATCTATCTTCAATTTAGTTACCTTTTGAAAATGGAGAGAAGCCGATTGGTTGCCATGGGTGAAATGCTCCACATTCTGTCTCCTCCAATGCTGATATATTCCCCTCATTGTGTTTATATTGGGAGCGTGGTATTACATGTTACATCACTTCCTGTCAGTAAGGAGGACGGGACAGTCACTGTTTGAGCAACAGTTTTCCACCCGGGTCCTTAGACAAAAGTCAATTGGAAAACGGTCTTTTGTTGAATAGAGGGGGGCTGACAGGGCCACAAACAGTCAGTTGAACTGAAAGCCGAAGTTCAAGCAATGCATGTCAGGCTTTATACCCCCTTGACAGGTCTTTACTGCAGTCTAAAGTTTCTGGAGGAGACATCCTCTCACTTCCTGTTCTGGTGACAATGTTGACGCTGGGACAGGAAAAAGAAAAACCCGCCATAAGGAAGGGGGAGAAGACGCTGCAGGGACTGGTCTAGCAGCCAAGCAGGAACGAGGTTAAAGGTGAATATAACTTATTTTAGATCCTAGACAAAACGAGCACTTAACCCTTGCTGTGCGGGGGTTGCCCTAATGCAAGGGTTAAGTGTTCTTCTGCTCGGAGTTCTTCTTTAAATCATTTCCCCCCACATCAAATTCTCACTGAACCTGAGTGCTGACATAACAATGCAATGTGACAATGTCTAAGAATATGCCAATAAGACAGATATTACTATTGCAGCCTTCCTGGTATCTGGTCCCATAAAGAAATCACTTCCATTGATGAATGTAGTGAATAATAAATAAATGGGGTGCAGTGATGTACGGGCTGGGCACACCGCTTGCTGCCACAGTCAGAAGTGTCATTGGCCACAGGCTACATAACACTGAGCAGGCCGGATGAATGGGCGATGTGTTACTGAATCAATCATCTACCCAGCCATAGCAACCGCGAGCACTTCTCTCAGACACCACCCAGCCCCTCATTACCGGCATGTTTGCGTTGATCCGGGACGAATTCCGACAAGTAGAGGTGAGCCCGGTTACCCCCAGACACCACTGGATGAGAGACCCCCAAATCCCTGGAACAGCCCCTCCGCTTCACACACTGCGCATGCGTCAGGCGAACGGGGCTCGTTGGAGTGACAGCGCTCTTGACCAATAACGCAAGACCTGAGCTATCGGCTGCGGCTGGGAGCTGCCAATCGGCGCTCACGTGTTCATTGTTGCTTACAGGAGGGGAGGGCTGCTGTACAGTGTGTGACCGATTGTGGGATTAACCAATAGGAAGCTCTGAGAGGTGGGTCCCCACCCAGAAACGCTGCTGTGGTTGGGTAGCTGCTGGCATGGTAACTGTTGTGAAGGTTTGGGCCTTTCTGCTGCACAGCTGTGAGCTGACTCAGCTGTGTAACCTAACAACCTGCGTTTGGTTTACAATATGACGGCGTTATACTTTCACTCTGTTTGTGGTGGGCTTATAGTTCACACTATATCTGATTTCCAGGGAAACGTTTAATGTGACATTAAACTCAGGAGTTTAATCTTAAAAATGCACCCAGGTAGCTTAATCAATATTATTTGTGTATCACTCGGCTGTAGATCATCAAATCATCTCTGAATTGGTGCCTGCTTTATTATTTGGGAGGGGGCCCCCAATTCATTATCACAGCATTTATGGGTTTTTTTAAAAATCCAGCTCATTAGAAAAGTTAGCAAATAAACTTATCCCCAGCCATGCTGTAGGAATCCCGAGTATCCCAGATCTCGTAGGAATGTTTATAGCACAGTGCAGCATTGTCCTGTTGTGAGATTTGGAATACTCTTCATTCCGAGATCTCACTAGAAGGATTGTGATGTTACCCTCACTAAAGCTGCCCACACACCTTATAATTATCTGCAGATTTTCTGTGGTCAGATGGAAAAGGTGCAACAGATTCCTCCATCTACACTTAAAGGGGTTCTAAACCCTCCGTTTTTTTTTTGCTTATATCTACTGCTAGCATGCAGTAGATATAGGCAAGGAGTGTAAACAAAAAACGCTTAAAATCATTTTAAACTTACCTCGTTATCGCTTCTCGCTCCTGCGCCGAGAATCAGGAACTGCTCGTACGGCCGCAAAGGATCTTGGGGTGGGCGCATGCGCAGTTCCGATTCTCGGCCGGGAGACGAGCAGAGACGCAAGGTAAGTCTATGGACGCGTGCACCCGCCTGCAGACACTGCTATATCGGAGAGACAGAGCAGTCAGCGCTGGATCGGAGTGACGTCACACCGCTGGAGGGACACATGAAAACATGGGGAAAGAAGAGGAAGATCGGAAAAAGAGACATCATTTAAGTTAAGTGCTAACATTTACATGGGGGGGGAGGGAAAAAAAATGTGCCTTTAATATCACTTTAACTGGTTGGATGGAGTAATCTCCACCTGGGCCAATCTGTTGCACTTTTTCCATGTGACAACAGAAAATCTGCAGATAATTGTGTGTGGGCACCGTTAGGCACGATGGTGGGTTTATCTTCACAGGTGGGGGTTTTTTTTCTTTTCAAGTGGCGCTAAATTTAATAAATCCACTTGAAAGCATTTTTAAGAATGTATGTTAAAGTGACATTAAAGTAAAAAAAAATTCCCTTCCCCCTCCCCCCATGTTAATGTTAGCACTTACCTTAAATGATGTCTCTTAATCCGATCTTCTTTCCTGACGTTTTCATCTGTTTCTCCAGTGCTGCGGCGGCTCTCTGATCCAGCGCTCACTCCTCTCTGCTTGCAGGCACTTACGATCCAGCGGTGTCTGCATGCGGGTGCACGCGTCCATAGACTTACCATGCGTCTCTGCTCGTCTCCCGGCCGAGAATCCGAACTGCCAATGCGCCCGCCCCAAGATCCTTATGGCCGCACGAGCAGTTTCGGATTCTCGTGCAGGAGCGCGCAGCGATAACGAGGTAAGTTTAAACCGCTGTTAAAGCGTTTTTGTTTTTTTTTACTTTTTGCATATATCTACTGCTTGCTAGCATTAGATATAGGCAGAAAAACCGGAGGCTTTAGAACCCCTTTAATTGTGTATCACTCAGCTGTAGATCCTCAAATCATCCCTGAATTGGTGCTGACACTGTCCTTCCTTCTGGAGGGAGGCTACTTTTGTTCCCTATGGTCCCTGTGTGTGTTGTAAAGTAGCCACTGCTCCAAGCTCACTCCTGTGCAGTGGCGTCATGCAGGGGGTGCGGCCTGCACCCGGGAGACACCATTGGAGGGGTGACACCAAAATGACTGACTGAATGACTGTCATTTTGGTGTCACCCCCCTCTGAAAAGTCGGGCACTCGGTCAAGGATCGAGAGCCCGACACTTGCATGAGAGCGGAAGGGAGACGGTAGCATACCTTATGCCGCCGGGTGACGTCCCCTCCTCTCTCTGCCGGCGTCCATCACCAAGATGGCCGCCGGCAGGTAACAGCAGTACCGTGCGTGGTGTCGTCACGCGCGTACATGATGACGTTACTGTGGGGTGTCACCCGGCCTCGGGACCCTTCTGCTCCTGTGATGGAGTATACTCTCAATACAAATGTGAGATTGTAGTCCATCATGGGGGTGAGCTTGGGGAGGTGGCTACTTTACAACACACACAGGGACTATGGGGAACAAAAGTTGCCACCCTTTAGAAGGAAGGGCAGTGCCAGCATGAATTCAGAGATGATTTGAGGATCTACACAAATAATCTACATTTTTGTTAATAGTCAAGGTACTTGAATGCATTTTTAAAAGGTTATTAAACCCTTGCATGTTTTTGCATATATCTAGTGCTAGCAAGCAGTAGATATATGCAAAACGATTTTTAAAAAAACCTTGGGTTAATGCTTACCTGTGTCTTCGCCGCGTGCTCCCGTCCGAACATCTGAAAATTTCGCGAACTGCAAAGGATCTTGGGTCGGGCGCATGCGCAGTTCAGATGTTCGGCCGGGAGACGAGGAGAGACATAAGGTAAGTATATGGAGCAGTGTGCACTCGCAGACTCCGTGGGACATAAGAGGAGAGGAGAACAGAGGAGCCAGCGCTGGATCGGAGACCCGCACCAGTGCTGGAGGAACATCTGAAAACTACACTAAAGAAGAGGATAATAGGATTAAGAGACATTATTTAAGGTAAGTCCTTACACTAACATTGGGGAGGGGGAAAAATTAGCCTTTAATGTCACTTTAAGATCTAACTCCTGAGTTTAGTGTCACTTTAAGAATTTAGATATGTCCTTGGAAAGGATCCCAGGTATTCCAGATGGACAATCTGCACCATAGAAATCCTTCCCTGTCTGTGCCATATGGTGTTACCATTCTTTATTAGTTTATACAGGACCAGCTATACTGTACAGTGTTTTATAGAGTAGTGTTCATATCAGTCCCTGCTCTATAGGAGCTTACAATCGAATGAGCCTATCACACTTAAGTGGTCTATTTTTAAAAAAAATTACAGAGTCACTCTCCATGAGATTCTCTAAGAATGCTCCTTTTGTAGAGGAACAAATGAACATTCTTAGTATAATTCCTTTTTAGGTGGCATATAATGTAATACTGCATTATGACCATTAGATGGCGCTAAGGAGCAAAGGAAATAACTACATTTGTATTGTGTTTGTTTTGTGCAGAGCCTTTTCCTTATCTTTAAAAAGCCAGTTGAAGATTAGAGTGGCTGCCACTTTTGTTTTGCTAAGAGGAGAATTGTGTGGGGTGGCTGAATAGGTGTGGGGGCAGTACTAGTGAACTCTGCACTGTAAACTGTGACTTTACATTACATATGCCTTAACGGTGCACTCTGCACTTTGTGTTAAAAAGGAGCCTCAGGATTTTCAAAAGTTAACCCTGCACTGCAAGGGTTAACTGCTCATTTTGATCTAGAGGCGCAAATAAAGAAAATATACTTGCCTGATCCTCGATCCTGCCTAGCTGCTGGACCTCTTCTCACACAGGCTTTGGCAGTCTAAGCCCCACAGATGTCATATGGTCCTTTCACTTGCATTAGATGTGAGAATGCTAAGAGACATTCTACAGCTGGAGCAAAAGGGGAGAGAGGTAATCGGTCACCGCTCCAGGATTGAGGATCGGGTGAGTTTCTTCTTTAACCACTTGCTGACCGGGGTGTTTAGACCCTCTTCCTGGCCCGGCCATTTTTCAGCATTCAGCGCTTCGGCACTTTGACTGACATTTATTCCGTCATGCAATGCTCTACTGAAATTAATTTTATACCAGTTTTTAGGAACAGATAGAGCTTTCTTTTGGTGGTATTTAATCACCACTGAGGGTTTTCATTTTTTGCTATATTACCAAGGAAAAATTACTGAAAATGTTGAAAAAAAATAATATTTTTTTACATCATGTTAGAAAACAATTATTAGTACCCAATTTTTGGGTAAAATATAAAAGATGGAGTCATTTCGCGTAAATGGACACCAAACATGTCAAGCCTTAAAATTGCACGCACCCGCGAAATCGCAAAAAACTACAATTCCTGAAATTGACCATAGGCAATGCGTTAAAAGCTTTTACCATTCATCAGTTTAGTGTTATCAGTGATTGATGGCCCTAGAATGAATGCTCTCACTGCGACGTTCGCGGTGATATGAAACATGTGTGGTGTAATGGACGTAATCGTCATTTTCACAAGTATGCACACCCGACACATGTTTGCATGTATGTATGTATGGGTGGGGACTTTCAAAGTTTTTGTGTTTTTTTTTAAATTCTTTTCATGTGTGAATTATTTTATTTTTTTGCAACTTTCATTTTTTTTACCTAACGTTATTGTTACCACATAGGGGGCTAAAAAATCCTCTATGTAATAGCAAAGAGATGTGACGGGTCCTCTTTATGGAGACATCAGGGGTCTCCAAGACCCCTAATGTAACCTAGGGACCCAAAAAGAAGCTGATGAAGCAGAGATCTGCTTCATCAGCTTCTGAAGCCAGAGAGTGACACGAGAATGCCGAAGTGATGTAATATACATCACTTCTGCATTCTGACACTGGAGAGGGGATGGAGGGAGTTCGTGTACCGATCTCCCTCTGATTCCCTGTCAGAGAGCCATCATGCTGGTCCCGTGCTCAAACCAGGCAGAGCGGAGCTCCAGACCAGCAGAGGGGGCGCACAGACCGGCACCTTATACAAGCGATCCACCGGCTCTATAGT